AAGTTCTGAGGAAGAGTCACCGGACCCGAAACGTTAACTCTGTTTTCCCCTTCACAGAGGCTGCCAGACCTGCTGAGCTTTTCCAGCAACTTTGTCTTTGTAGATGAGGAAATGTTGTTTTCCCTTGCGGACAGTCTAGGATCAGAGGGCATCATCTCAGAAAAATGGATCACACATCTAAAACAGATGAGGGGAAATTTCTTCTCTCCAGATGGTAGTCAATTAGTGGTATTCTTTACCACAGAGGGTTGCAGAGGCTGGGTTGTTATGTACGTTAAATGTTGAAGTAGACAGATTTTGAATCAGTAAGGAAATCAAGGGATATGGAGAAAAACCAGAAATGTGGAGTTGAAGATTATCAGATCAACTACAATCTCATTGAATGGTGGAGCAGATTCAATGGGCTGAATGGCCTATTTCCACTCGTACATGATGGTTTTATAGTCTTGTGGTTAATTAATAAATTACCCATGACTATTATCCACAGTGATGGAGTTAGCACATTACCACTAAGAAAGACTTAAAGAATATGGGGTCTTCTCCCTAGAAAAGTGAAAGTTGTGAGGAAACTTGATAGAGGTCTCCAAAATTATGAATGGGATTAATGGGCTAAGGGTGTGTGAAGGCACATGTCAGCAGAAATGCCAGAAAAAGCCTCCTGATCCAAATGCACTGTTTCTGTGTAGTTGACTCGATATAATCCAATGTAGTTGGAGAAGCTTGAGTAAATGGTGAGTATTTTCTGGTGCGTTCTGGTTGAAGGCCAGCTGCCTCTAAACATGACACCTGGGCATGAGGTATGTGTTTTTTGTCATGGGAACTAGAGAGGAGAACAGTAACAAAGTAATGACGGCAGAGAATAGAATGTGGTGAATGTCTGTTTACGTTAACTGAATTAAGTTATTACAGCTGTTGTTCTGTGGATGCTAAAATAACCAAAATAGCTTCAAAGCGTGAACCACCCCTTCAGATGTTATTGTTTACATCATTTATATACGCGAACACTTTAGAAAGCAGGTAATGTTCTTAAAAGATGTAAGAACCACACCCAGATTTTCATGAGAAGAATAGCCTTAAGGGGATGGCTGCAGCTATAAGATCCTGGAGGTTTGTTCGTTCATTCAGTGCAGTGCTCAGCAGTTTTCACAGAAGACACATTTTCAAGGTTTGATATAGCCTTTATTTAAGACGGATAATTTTGGATGTGAAGGATAAGAATTTACTTGGAGAAAATGTTTCAAGATAACTTGAAAGGTTTTCACTTTACATTGATTGTTGCGGTGCAATATTATTTCAGTTTAATGCAAGCTTTACTGTGACTGCAGATCCATACTGTGGGTGAGAGAAATTGATCCGCGATTTGTGATCGATTTGTAAAGAATCAGTGGCTAAGATATTGATGCAACAGTTTTTATTTTCCATTGACTTGGAAAGTACTGCCAAGGATTTTTAATTTTAAACTATGTTAAACCAATGACAAGATGAGGAAATGAGTCTCCAAAAAGAATTTGAATGATTGTTTTGTGAATTTTCCAGTGGAAAAATGGTGAAAAATTAATTTTTGATTTGTTTCAAGTCTATTTTGTTACGTTGGTGTGGACCGATTTCATACTCTGAAATCTTTTAGCTGGTCTACATGCACCCTAGTTTGACCTTGTCTGACTACAGTGTGACTATTGTACGGGATGGACATCAAGTATTTTATTTGGCAGAGTACAGTGAGAACAATCTGCAAGGGAGCTGGATATCAGCCTTTCTTTCCAGCACTTATTTCAGCCAGCGCTCAATGTATAAAGCAAGAAAGACATCTTTATCTCATTTATTCTCTTTGATGGGACATCGGGGCCATTAGCAAGGGGCTGCATTTTTTGCACATCCCTAACTGCCCTGGGTCTGAGCGGATTCATGGGCCATTTCCTAGAGCAGCTAACAGTGAGCCACATTGATGGAGACACATTCAGACTAGATTGGGTGAAGATGGTAGGTTTTCTTCCCTAAAGATCATCATGTTTTTACCAAGTTTTTGATGATAAGCTGTTCTGGTCACCATTGTGGAAACCAAATTTATGTTCCAGATTTATTAACTGAATTTAAATTCCACCAGCTGCCATGGTGGGATTTGATCCCATTGTTCCCAGAGGATTAGCCTGTCTGTGATATTAAAACTGTTTCCTTGGTAAAGGATGTTTTTGTTCTTTATGGGATTCCCCATCCCGAATTTCCATGGAGGAGGTGATGACTCATCACTTTCTTGAACTGCCACAATTCCAGGATTTTGATCCCTTTCCATTGAAGGCAAAGCGATTGAACTGCAAGGCAGGAGAGTATGTGACTTGGAGGGGAACTTGCAGGTGGTGGTGTTTGCCCACAGCTTGTTGCCCTTCTACCTCCTCCAGGCAGTACAACTTATGGGCTTGGAACATGCTGTTGCAGGAGGCTCTGTGAGTTTACTCCAGGAAGCTTGTCCTTCTTTCAGCATCAAGACTTCAATCAAAAAAGGTCATTTTAAGATCACCTCCTCACACATATCGACTGCTGTATTCTGCAGTTTATGTAGTATTTTAAATTTTCATCTTGCATTTGCAGGTTTCTTCTTGTCGAACAACAATGTTGAATTAAAGGCCAACTGATTGGCTCAGTTGTTTAAAATTAGCTTAACCTCATGGGTGCGATGGAAGTAGAAGAATTCTTTTGCTTATTCATTGGATATGGGAGTCACTGGCCAGGCCAGCATTTGTTGCCCATCTCTAATTGCCCAGAGGGCAGTTAAGAGTCAACCACATTGCTGTGAGACTGGAGTCACGTATAGGTCAGACCAGCTAAGGGAGGTTGTGTCCTTCTCTGGAACTGGGTGGGTTTTCCCGACAATGGTTTTATGGTCAGCATAGACTCTGAACACCAGATTTTTTGTTCTCCCAAATTGAATTCAAATTTCACAATCTGCCACAGCAGGTTTCAAACCTAGGTCCCTGAAACAATACCTGACCTGAGAGTTCAGTGATAATTCCACTCGGCTATCACTTCCCCTTAATTGATCATTATGGCCCAGACAACTCCAACGATTAGAAAACTTGCAGCAACATAGGCTGGAATTGCAGGTTGGAACCACACAGAATTCCCAATGCAGCTGACTCTGTGGGATTTTATGCTGTCTAATTCCCTTGTTCCTGGATCCCATTGAGAAACCTCCTTTAAGTCAGAGAATTCAGAGGCTTCCGACTCAGTTTGTGTATAAAAATTATTCAATAAGGAGGCAGGGTATCTTTTTCCAACAACATACCTTATTTATAAAATTTTCTAAACACGATTATTGCAATTGAACATTGCAAGATTTGCAAACAAATTCAACATGTAACAGTCTTCCAAATTAGAAAAAAAAATTCCACATCCAGTATGCAACCAGAGGCTGAAAAACATTTCAAATTGCAAATTATAGGAAATGCAATTGACTAAAGTTTTCTGCTGATTTCACAAAATTAATCAACAAAACTGGAAGTAATGTGTGATCACACTACCAACTGCACCTTTTTCCAATACAGTGTGAGAGCTCAGCACTGACAGCACCTTTCCTCAATGCAGTGTGGGAGTTCAGCACTGACAGCACCTTTTCTCAATGCCATGTGATAAGTCAACAACTGTACTTAAAGGAAACAGATAGTACAGCAAACATTCAAGCTTGGGGTCCACTAGTTTCTCTTCGGCCATGCTTTATCTCTGGCTGTGAAAAACGTGGACGTTGCTACTTCACCAAATGTATGCTAATCATGACCTTTATTCCCTTTTTACAGGAAAGTCCAACTTGGTTCTGGTTTTAAAAAGTTTCACAGTTGACCAGATATGATGGCAAACACACCAGTGTCCAATTGCACCCTTCCAATGAAGTTCATGACGCTCATTGTCATTGGTAGGTTAATGCTGTTAATTGCTATTGTTCAACTCCGGAACCTATCTGTGGCCTAATTCAGGTCACAACTGTGAAAAGCCAGGGAAATAAAAACAATGCATTTTTGGACTACGTTGGCTTCACAGAGCAGAGGTCCTTAACTGTGCAGTCAGCTGCAGATGAAATGGCCTGTTACTCAATGTGTTTGAATTATATTTTGTATTCAGCTGGCTGAAGAAGTCTTGCACTTTGAATTCGGTACCGCTAACAAAAACCTCTAATCAGAATTCAAGTCTATCTTCAGAGCAATTTAACTTCTGGAACTCTATTTCACAGATCTCCTGAATATATTGGAGTGCTAATTGATGCAGGATTCTTTCACTAATCTCTTAATGTCTCACAGTAGAAAATTTCTAAGGAAGAATGTGTTAAATAAGAAGTAGCACTATGCATCTAATTGTATAGCACATTGTTGAAGCATTCTGTTGCTTTGTAATAGCTTCATACTGTAATGATTCACTGTGGGTATTGCAATGGGACTGCTCCATACAGTAGCAGGTATATTTTGATTTGATTTATTGTCATGTGTAATGTGGTAAGAATTGTTTTGAATCATAATCAAACAAATCATACATGAAAACATAGAAAATAGGAGCAGGCGGAGGCCATTCAGCCCTTTGAGCCTGCTCCGCCATTCTTCATGATCATGGCTGATCCAACTCAATAGCCTAATCCTGCTTTCTCTCCATAAACTTTGATCCCATTTGCCCCAAGTGCTATGTCTAGTCGCCTCTTGAATACACTCAATGTTTTGGTATCAATTACTTCCTGTGGTAATGAATTCCATAGGCTCACCACTGTTTGGGTGAAGAAATGTCCCCTTATCTCCATCCTAAATCGTCTATCCCAATTCCTCATACTGTGACCCTGGTTCTGGACACACCCACCATCATGAACATCCTCCCTGCATCTACCCTGCCCAGTCCTGTTAGAATTTTATAAGTCTCCATGAGACTGTCCCCTCATTCATCTGAACTCCTTACATAAATACTCTACTTCAGTAGGAGGTTGATTCACACAATGACTTCTGTGATAATCAACATTCAGTTGCTCATGTTTTAGGTTTGGGGATCTGAAACAGTTTCTCCTCCTCTTTGACTTGTTCATTTAGGAGCTATAAGATGTTGTACTGAGATATGAAGTGTGTACGTTTTGATGAACAAATGATCTGTAGAACTTTCCTTTAACAGATTATTCTGATATTTCCTTTTAGGTTACTTTCTGGCCATTTTGAATGCTCAGCCGGTAAGTGGAATTTCATATCTTCTCTTGCACATCGTTGAAAATACAATTCAGTGATAAACTAGAGGTCACAATCATTCCTAGATCAGACTGGTTTAAAGTACTGTATAATTATTAAGGCAAAGTTTCAGAAGTGCAAATTTGATAAGAACAGTGAGACTATGTGAGAAATTGACCTGTGTTCTGTTTTATTAATGTTTAAAAAACAGCAGTAACCAATGAATAATTGCAGAGGTCATTCACATCACACATTCCTCATTGTGTGTAAAATAATAATAGAATCCCTAGAGAGTGGAAGCAGGTCATTCAGCCCATCAAGTCCAAACTGACCCTCAGAGGAGCACCCCACCCAGACCCAACCCCACCCCTGTATCCCTGCATTTCCCATGGCGAATCCACCTAACCTGCAAATCCCAGGACAATATGGGACAATTTAGCCTGGCTAATCCACCCTAACCTGTACATCTTTGGAGCGTGAGAGGAAACTGGAGCACCCAGAGGAAATCCTTGCAGACATGGGGGGGATGTGCAAACTCTACGCAGACAGTCACCTGCGGGTGGAACCAAACCTAGTTCACTGGTGCTATGAGGCAGTACTGAACTAACCACTGAGCCACTGTCAATCAGCCTTTAAATCAAGCTATATGGCTATTGAGTTAATTACATGTTTAAAATGTATGATATAAGTAAATGTAGGAGTGAATATCTTGATTGGCCCTCCACAGGCTCTAGGTGAGAAAGGATCCCAAGGACTCAGGCAGATATTGTTAAGAAGACGAGTGAAACGTGCCACTGGTGAGTAATTTATTTATTGATGTAGGCCTGTGTAACATCATCTGACTCTGACCCGTTCCTGCTCATTGACTGTTGAAACCCTCATCCATGCTACAATTTTCTCCTGGCTTCTCTTCTGCAATGCCTTTCTGGTCAGCTTCCCATCTTCCACTCACCATGCTTTTCTGCCCATCCAAAGCTATGCTGCTCATATCCAAATTAGTAGCAAGTCCTGTTTATGCATCAACATTGTTCTCACTGGCCATACATAGATTTTTGGATGGATACCGCCTCCTTTTCTTTCTTTAAACATTTCTCTGTGGTCTTACACCTCCCTATCATTGTAGCTATTTCTAGACCACAAGGCTATCTGTGTGTCTCCAATACGGACGTCTTGAGCAATCCCAATTTTAATTGCTCGACTATAGGCAGCCATATTATTAAGACTCCAAAATCTGGAATTGCCTCTATAAACTTCTCTGCCTGCATCCCCTTCTGTCTTCCTTTAAGACAGTCTTTACATCCCACTTCAATGACCAAACCTTTGGTCGTCATTTTTAATGTCACCTCATGTGGCACATTGACAGATTATCTTGCGAACCTGCAACATGTCATGTCCTATGCCTCAGGCTCAGTGTTCCATTCCCAGCAAAAGGAATGGCAGTATGGCAGTATGTTCTGCGTTATAACAATTTCATTCTACAAATTGGCATCTGCATGTGTCCAATGCAAATGTGTTTGTGTGCTTGCAGATTGTACCAAAGGCTTCATTACAAAAGATATGACCACCAATACGTTGTTACCCACGATTTATCCTGCTGAACAGTTAGATGCCTGTTTGAACAACAGTGTGCTGCTTGCAAACCTTACTGAACTGGGACATACAGCTTTCAGCAGAGATCAGCTTCTTGTTCTAAAAAGAAAATTGGGAGAGGTAAGGTTGCATCATTTGGAGATATATTCTTCCTAGGATGAATACTTCTAGTATCCAACATACCTGATGGCTAAGAGTCATCTATGTATGGGATAGCATAGAAACTGCACAGATTCAGGCCATTTAGCCCCATCAGTCCATGCTGATGTTTATGCTCCATTCAAGCCTTCATCACATTTTTTCTCATCTAAATCTGTCATTGCCACCCTCTAATCTCTTCTGCCATATACTTTTGTCTAGATTCCCAACATATTACTTGCTTCAACATGTAGCTCATTTTGTAAAGTCTAAGGATTTTGAATAAATGCAGTCTTTCAAATCTTGGTGCACCTCATGAAAGATTAGATTGTAGTTTTTGAGAAGTTTGAATTGCTTGAGTCAATTACACACCTAGGCTGCAGAGGCAGGTGGCCAAATTTCAAGTGAATTTAACCTGTAAGACTCCCAACCTTCAAAGAAGAATGTATGACTGGAGATAAAGGGTGTGAACTGAGCAATTGGACAAGACATGATGGGGTCACCAATATAAAATTGACCTGATGAATATGACCCACAGCAAGGGCCCAATTGGTGGTGCACAGTCCCACCATTAGTCTTCCATTGCTGTGTAGCTATAAGGAGATACCCACAGCCATTACACAGTCTATAGGAGATCCACGGTTTATAAACGTAGTTTTGACACCCTGTGCACTTTAATCTGACTGAATATATATTTTTTGATATTTTGGAACAGATACACACAAGCGGACTGCCAGAAGAACGGATTCGACAGCTGGGATTCATAATTACTGTGTACGGTCCCGAAGAGATCAGCATGTGGAACATAACAAATGCAGATACCCTTGCACTTGTTCTAAGGAATAGCCCAAATTTGAACACGGTATGGATTAGCAGCGAGCTTTTGATTGTGTGACCCAATCAAAGAGCATGTGTTGTACCCTGAATTCAAATATTGTTTGGGTTGTGATGGATGATGAGAAAAACTAGGGATAAAATGGAACCTTATTGCTACCTGTGATGTGGCAACACATTCGTCATCAGATAGTTTAAAAATGCTCTTTGAACTAAAAGAAACCTACAGTATCCATCCATGTGACATTGCAGATGGAAATCAGTCATAGCAAGGTCACTAAATGAAGAGTATATGGAGAGAATCCCATCGACAAAGATCTGCTTCTGACAAAAAGAACTTTGATGGTAGTGACATTACTGAGCGTTGCAAACAAAGAGCAACTCAATCAGAACCTAAGGGCACTTCAGTTGTTACTTTCTGTTACATTTCAGTGAGAATCATAGAATAAGAGAATTATGTCAGTGCAGAAAGAGACCCACTGTGTCAGTGCTGAGCCTCTGCAGGAGCAGCTGAACTAGTCCCACTCATCACCATTAGGCTATAGATGCAAATTCTCTTTTGATGACACAGCCATTTTGTTTTGAAAGCTTTAATTGATTCTGTTTCCACTGTATTCTCCGACAGTGAATTCTCAATCCATAAGTAAAACAAAGAACTGCGGATGCTAGAAATCTGAATCAAAAACAAAAATTGCTGGTGAAACTCAGCAGGTCTAGCAGTACTTGTGGAAAGAAAGCAAAGAGTTAGCATTTCAAGTCTGGTGACTCTTCATCAAAACTGTTTTGCCAGCAATTTATGTTTTTGAATTCTTGATTCGCTTATTTTGTAGAATATTTTTCCTTGTGTTGCCTTTGGGTTTTCTTGGTTCTTCACCTTAAATTGGTATCAATTGGTTCTTGACCATTGCACCAAAGGAAGCGGTTTCTCCCCATTTATTCGATGCAGACTTTGAACATCTCTGTCTGATTGCCCCTCAACCTTTTCTGAGGGGACTTGTCCTGGCTTCAGCAATCTACCCATCAGAACTGAAATCCCTCATTGCTGTGGCCATTCTCATAAATCCTTCCACTGCCTCTGCACCCATGCTATTGATACTGATATGGATTCCTAGTAAGCTTATCTTGTATTTTCTCCTGCATAAGTAGTTAAGCTCTCACATGTTTCACAAAGCAAAAAAGAGAAAAGAATGGATACACAATCAGACAACATTCTGAGTTTATAGTATATATGGGGCAAAAAGTAATAAATGGAACTTTTCTCTTTCATTTCAGACCAATGTAATTATTGCAAATTATCTGCAAAGATCTGGGCCACTAAATGCGGTTGCATTGGATGCGATTGGCGGTCCATTACTGTGTACTCTGAGTGAAGAGAACCTCAGGACCATCCTTCCCAGTGAACTGAAGTGAGTGTCAGATTCTCTAAAGTTATCCTGCAACTCTACTCTCCTACTCTCTATTTGACCTAGCTGTGACATTACAAACCTGCAGACTTCCAAAGGAATATTTTGTGAACAGGGACATTTGCTTAATTGAGGGAAAATGAAATGATGACCTTGTCATTGAGCACAGACTACCTAAGTCATCTAAGTGTCAATGTTAACAAAAAGCCTTACCACTTTGTTGCAGGAAAGCCAAACCACTGAATATTTCCACATGTACCCAGGCGAAGAAAGACATACTTTTTGGGATCGCTAAAGTTGCGTTCCAGGATCTTGCTGGTGATCCCAAAGCCTATTTTAACCAACTCAAGCCATATATTGGTAAGCTATATTACAATCTGCTTTGATGATTATTTGAAAAAATATACACATCAATTAATTTTCAGTTCATTACCATCTTTAACGAAGAAAGTTTATTATTAATACCAAATGAATTAAATCTTCCATTTCACTCTATTTTTATGAAAAGTTGTTGTTTAGAAATAGCGAGCTGATAGTTCTTTCTGTTCTGTAAAAGGTGGTGCACAAGCGTCTGATTTACAGAGTTTAGCTGCTGGCAACATCAACATGGACTTTGAGACATTCAGCAGCCTCAATCCAGTAGAAGTGGAAGTGAGTATCAGTGGAGACCTGCACCAACATCCAGCTCTTTAACACCTCACACAGAAACCAGATATTAGATACAGTGCCCAGAAACAGGAATTCATTCACACCAGCCCATGTTAATCACCACAGGTCACCTCCTTGCTGCACAACTGCTATATTTATGAGACCTTGCTTAGACTAGAGACCACAACTGAACATCATGATCTCAGCTGTGAAGGAAAAGGAACCATGAAGTTCATCTCACTTCAACCAGGTTTAAAGAGGGATTGGAGTGCACTCGGACTGGGGTGCACTTGGACTGGTTGACTGTTATTAAGTGAAAAATGCCATAGTAAACATTTCAGTTGTCATTCATTTCCATGTGTATAATGGAACTGAAATGTTGCAGGGTCAAGTACAGACAGCTGGTTCACTACCAGTTGTGTTAGTTTTGAAGAGCATGGTGGCTCAGTGGTTAGCACTGCTGCCTCACAGCACCAGGCACCTGGGCTTGATTCCAGCCTCAGGCGACTGTGTGGAGTTTGCACATTCTCCCTGTGTCTGCGTGGGTTTCCGCTGTGTGCTCTGGTTTCCTTTTACAGTCCAAAGATGTGCAGGTTAGATGGATTGGCCATGCTAAAATGGCCATGCTAAATTGCCCATAGTGTCCAGGGATATGTAAATTAGGTGGATTCGACATGGGAAATGCACGGTTAGAGGGAAAGGATAGGGGGATGTGTCTGGTTGGGATGCTCTTTGGAGGGGTGGTGTGGACTTGTTAGGCCCAATGGTATGTTCCACACTGTAGGGATTCCATGTATAAACCTCTGATGTTTCAAATTGAAAAGACAATTTATAGCTCCACTCAGTTAGAGCTACACAGCTCGAGTTAATTGGAGGGAGTCATATCAGAAGTGGAATTAAATCCATTGGCAGAATGGAAAGACTCAATGTTGAAGAAGAAACTTTGTTAACACGTATTATTAGATTGGATTGGTGGATGAAGGGAACTGGAAACATTTGGGATAAATGCTTACTTGTGTTATTAACAGGAAATAGGTGAGACATTCTGTTTCCATATTGCTTATGTACCTGATTGTCCTTGAATCATTTCAGAAAGAATGTGGAACCAAGACTGAGGACAATGTTGTCATTGTATTGTGGCTATTCCATATCTTTCAGAAACTCACTGCCCAGAACATTCGAGATCTGCTTGGAATTAACCTGAATTCCCTTAAAGAAAATGAAAATCATGAGATAGTGCGGCGTTGGGTTAACACACACACAGTGGCTGAGGTGATGAGTCTGGGAATTGGCCTCAGAGGTGGAATATCACCGGCTGGACTTGGGAATCTTTCCATTTTGCCATGTAAGTGGCATTTTACAGTTATTAATGTACTGACAAGAGCATTGGCTATGATAAAGAACATCATCATGGGAGCAAATGGGAAATCTTTTATTTGCAAGCTGTGCTGTCTTTGAAAATACTGATGTATGCTTAAGCATTTAATCTACACAGAGTCACTATGAATTCCATAATGGTGCCCCAAAACCAGTTAACAGCATATATCACTGAGTCTAACTGGAAGAATGTAACAACGTAGTGTTAAAGAAAATGCTAATTTGAAAACTACACTTGCAGCCTCTTTGCATGAAGTAATGTTTGTGAAAGATGCTAACTCATGAAAGGCTAAAGAATACTTTGGAGGATAATTATTATTAGTCTATTTCTCATCATTTCATTTTATTTTCCAGTGCCTGGTTCTGCTTCAGTCAGCAGCTACAGTCTCCTGCTCTCCACATGCATCACTGTGTTGGGGATCGCTTTGCAATATCATTCATAAACTGTGATTGTGCTGCCTACTGTGTGAAATGGAAGGAACCATGTATCCCAGCATCACATGAAGGAAATTGAAGAAGGTTTAACCAGCTCAGCACAAGTAGATTGAACGCTATTTATAACTTTGAAATGACTTTAAACTAGCTTTCTAGACATGGTGCTGATCAATTGTAAAACAAAATAATTTAGGGCAACTCTGAACTGTTGCTGGAATGACAGTAATCCAAAAGCAGTCAATAAAGATTTATCTTATTACTGCCTACCAAATCTCACAGAAATATTAATGAATTTTCTTATCATGGATTCCTTGTAGAGTGAAAGGTGGTAGAAGTTTGGAATTCCCTTTGGCAAACAGCATTGAATGTCAGATGAATAGTTCATTCTAGATACGTTTTTGTTCAGCAAGGATGTTAAGAGCTAAGGGACAAAGGTGGGAATTTCGAATTATGTTGCAGATTAAGTATAACCTCATTCAACAACTGACCAGACTCCAAGGGGTTACTCCTGTATCAATAACCCTATGTTCCTAATGAAGACACTACTTAAAGTTCAAAATACTTTTCTTAGTGCATGTTTTTATAACAAAGCTCCTGTATTGATTGGCTTGATTGTAATGTAGCCAGTAGCTGAGCAAAAGTCACATTATAAGGGTAAAAGCCAGTAGGGCTCAGGAATGGGCAGAGGTGAGGAGTACGATTTCAGTGCCTGTTTTTGGATGAGAACGGAACATGAAGGCTCTCAGGCTCAAGTTGCCATTCTCTCCCAATTCTAATCCACTGGTTGACACCTTCTTTGGAACCCGGACATGTGTAGAGCTGACACTGACTTGAATCAGCTGAGGACCTTATTTTTTCAGATTCTGCCTCTGGTCTAGAGTGCCTCCCCCACCCCCATGCCCAGTCCCACCCCCTTCCCCAGCCCATTCCCAACCCCACCCCCTCCTCCACCCCCACCCCCACCACTACCCCCTCCCCCAGCCCTGGGTCATGGAACTGATAACATTCATGACAAAAAATGGTGAGCAGAGAAAAGCACTGGCAGACATTGCTATCTGTGTTGCACTTAATGCTGAGTCAGCAAGAATACAGGTCATCAAATTGGAAAACAGTGTATTTGAAACTGCCATATGATTTGTTTGTCTTCTATGTTAAACAATAGTTAGTGTCTTTACCAATACATATTTATATGGTTTGCTGTTTTACCCAGTATGTATGTGATACACATTTGTTCTTTTTGTCTTAATATATTTGAAAAATAACTTTTATGTATATTTTCAATAAAAAAAGCAATTGAATTGTTCATGGGGTTTGGCCAATCCTGTTGTACAGGTGGATGATCTGGAAATGGTCAGTACTGAGGACGAAAACCCTAAATTGTCTTCTCCCGGATGTAATTATAGAAAACAGCAACAAACTTTTCTTGGGAGGTAACAAGTGCTGACATTGTGATCATTCAGAGGATTGAGGGCTTCACTATAGCAATATTTTACACTGATCAACACTCCAGAGCTTTACTAGACATCCACGTTAGGCTAAACTCAGAGACATTGCAGTTCAGAGTCTAAAGGGGCCTTAAGGTTCCTCAATAGAGGATGCTGGATCAACCATTAATTTTAAATCTGCGATGTGTATTTTTTTATTAGACAAAGGTTTTAACGGGTACAGACTGTAGTGATTAGAACCAGGTGGATCTTGTTGAGTATGAGATCCTTCTTTGGTGCTGGTAACCAGGGCCAATCAGGGATCCCTGGTTGACAGATCTAAACAGTGGATTCAGAGTCTCCTGACTTCAGGGACTGACAGTGAGTTGGCTGATCACAGCAGTGTACGGTGCACGTGTAAATAAAGGGTGACTTGGTGACGGGATACCAACGTCTGTGCAGTTATTTCATGGACCAAAGGCAGTTATGTGGAGTTAGGCCACAGATCAGCCATGAATTCATAGAATGCCAGTACAGTCACAAGGTGCTGAATGGCCTCCTCCTGTTCCAACATTTCCTAAATTTCCACATTAACTGAGAAGATTTTTATTTATAGCCATTTTTCAAAGCACCACCTCAAGCATTTGCAGATTTATTGAACTCAGTTTTACAGCTTGATCTCCTGCACCCTGGGAAATAATTCCGCTATCATAACCTCAACACTACTTTCGGCTTATATGTATGACTTTAGGATGAATACTGGGGAGGGCCATTCTGTTTATTATAGGCATAATCATTGACTGAGCATCCACAGTGTTCCAGGATGGAAAATTCCAGCCCTCTGAGTGAAGCAAGTTCTCCTGATCTCCTCTGAAATGTCTGATCCCATATCTTGAGGTTATGACCTGAGTTCTAGACTCTCCAATCATGGAAAACAAGTTTTGAAACTCTATCAAGTTCTCTAAGAATTTTATACATTGCAATTATATCACCCTTCATTCCTCTAAACTTTTAAAAATCTAGGCCCATTCTACTTATTCTGTCCTCATTGGTTCCTGAGATAAGAGACAGATATCTAATCAGATGAACCTTTGTTTTATCTCATCCAGGCAAGCTTAGGTAAGTTCACAGTACGCCAGCTCCATATAGTTCTATCAATAGTTCCTTTCACTTATTTTCCACATCCTTTTGCCTTATTAATTCTTTGTGCACCTTTGCACTTTGCAGTTCATACAAAAGGGCCCCAAACCATCTGAATGCAACCATTTTTGAAAACATCTGCACCTATTAACACTGCATGTGTTGGAAATCTGAAACAAACACAGAAAGTGCCGGAGAAACTCAGGTCTGGCAGCATCTGTGGAGAAAGAAACACAAGGTTAATGTTTTGAAACTGGCATGACTCTTCTTTGGAATCCTGGTCACCATTACTTTGCAGTCTCTTAGCATTCTCCTCACCTGCCTGCCCGGCTTTGTGTCAGCTGCATTGTTGGATATACTACACTCGGTTTCCTCATCTAAACCATTGGCATAGATTGGTAATATGGATTCTTGCAATATCTCAGACCAGTCTCACATCATGCCATCCTGCAAATGCCTTGTTATTCCAACTCTCTTGTCTGTTTGTTAACCTATCCTCTGCGCCTGTTAATATATTACCCCATCCAATCTAATCCAGTGCATCCACCTGATGTGCAGCACCTTATTGAATATCTGCTGAAACTAGGTGTCCAGTATCCGACATGGAGGTCCTGCAGTGACGAGGGCATTCATGCTGTAATTAGCAGAGAGGATGATCGGGCTTGTGCATAATTGCAACCATCACTACTCCCCTAGGGAATGCCTCAGAAAGCCTTCCAATCTATTGGTTTCAACATTGCTATGTGTCTTGACAATAACAACAGGCTCCCTGGCAGACCTGTCAATGTGCCAAGCACCCATGCATGCATACCCATCAGCTTTTTCTATGAGCTGCCCCATCAGAGTCGACAGACAGAGAAAAGATAAACCTTTGAGAGCAAGTTGCAGCCAGATGATATTGAACTATTGATATTCATAAGTATTAATGGTTTTGCACTACATCTGTTTGTTTGAGACTCTGTCTAGCTCTGAAGATAATTATGCCACATGTCTAATAACATGTCCATACAGGATGTGCCATGGAGTGATATCTGTGTTGACAGCCTGTTGCAAAACATGGAAGCAAGAGGAACAGAGGGTTCTGCTGGGATCAACCTTTGGACAAATATCCCTATTATTTTTCTGAAGAAGGATCCCGACCGGAAACAACAGCTTTCCTGCTCCTCTGATGCTGCCTGGCCTGCTGTGATCCCCCAGATCCAAACTGTGTTATCTCAGACTCCAGCATCGGCAGTTCTTATTATCCCTATTGTTTCGCTGGCCTCCACATGCAGAAGTGTTAGTGTTAAATGGAGAGGTCAGTGTAATGATTGTAAAAAAGTCAGCCAGGTGGCCTGCATAGAATATGGATACCCCCACTGGGGCTGTTAATCTGGTCCAATCAGTGAGCCCTAGCTGGTAGATATAAGCAGGAGTGTCAGAGGTTCAGTTCACTCTGAGAGCAGGCTCTGACAGAGCTGGATCAATATCAAGGACTCTCCATGTGTAAATAAAGGGTGACATGGTTACTGTGGAGTTATTTCACTGGTAATGAGAGAAAAGCACATTCCTGAAGAAATTCACTGACGACAGTCGTCTTTGAGTTGAGGTAAGCATTTCTAGCATCATGCCATTATTTGGGATGCTTGACCCATTTGATCCTGCCTGTCGAAGACTGGGCCCAGTGTGTGGAAAGAATGCAATATTTCTTCCTGTTAAATTACATTGTAGCAGATGAAAAGTAACAAGTAATTCTACTGACAGCTTGTGGACCCACAGCTTTTTCTGTTCTTAGGAGCCTAACTTTCACTGAGGCTCCAGATATGAAAACCTTTCAAGAGTTGACAGATTTAGTTAAGGAATATTATGACCCCAAATGTCTTCTAATTCTGAGACGCTATCGGCTTTACTCGGCAGTTCAAGTTCCAGAGGAATCTGATCGGGATTTTTGACGAGGTTAAAATGACTGACAGAGGCATGTGATTTTGGGTTAACTCTTAATGAGGCCTTGAGAGACTATTTAGTATGTGGGATTAATGATGTAACTATGCAAAAGTACCTACTAGCTGAAGCCCAATTGGGCTTCAAACAGATACTACAACTGGCTTTATCACGGAAAATGCAGCAAGTGGAGTATATGAGTTGCAGGGCATTCCGATGGAGCTTGGGGAATGCCAATGATGCACAAGGCCGGTCATCTTCTCTGCTAATGACAGCATGAATGCCCTCACCATGCTAGTCTGGCACTGTCTGCAGGACCTCCATGACAGATACTGGACACCGACTTTCAGCAGATATTCAATAAGGTGCCGCACATGAGGTCGACGCACTGGATTAGCATTAATTGGATGGGGTAATATATTAACAGGTGCAGAGGATAGTTTAACAAACAGACAAGAGAGTTAGAATAACAAGGCATTTGCAGGATGGCATGGTGTGAGACTGGTTTGGGATATTGCAAGAATCCATACTTCCAATCTACGCCAATGGTTTAGATGAGGACACCGAGTGTAATATATCCAACAATGCAGCTGACACAAAGCCAGGTGGGCAGGTGAGGAGAATGCTAAGAGACTGCAAAGTAATGGTGACCAGGATTCCAAAGAAGAGTCTCAAAACACTAACTAAGTTTCTCCAGCACTTTCTGTGTTTGTTTCAGATTTCCAACATGTGCAGTGTTAATAGATGCAGATGTTTTCAGAAATGGTTGCATTCAGATGGCTTGGGGGACCCTTTTGAATATGAATTGCAAAGTGCAAAGGTGAGCAAAGAATTAATAAGGCAAAAGGATGTGGAAAATAAGTGAAAGGAACTGTTGATAGAACTATATAGAGCTGGCGTGCTGTGAACTTACCTAAGCTTGACCTAAATGAGATGCAACAAAGGGTCACCTGATTAAATATCTGTCTCTTATCTCAGGAACCAATGAGGGCAGAATGAGTAGAATGGGCCTAGATTTTTAAAAGTTTAGAGGAATGAAAGGTGATATAATTGAAATATACGCACTTCTTAGAGAACTTGACAGAGTTTCAAAGCTTGTTTTCCATGATTGGAGAGTCTAGAACTCAGGTCATAGTCTCTAGATATGGGATCAGACATTTCAGAGGAGATCAGGAGAACTTGCTTCACTCAGAGGGCTGGAATTTTTCATCCTGGAGCACTGTGGACGCTCAGTCAATGATTATTTTTGACATAGTCCTTAGATGTTTCTCCCAGACGGGCATGCACCTCAGAAAGGAAAAATTTGTGTTTCAGGTCTACGTGGTTTATATAGTCGATAAGACCAAGTTACACCTGTTGGAAGATAAAGTGAGAGCAAGAAAAGGTACCTGGCTTCCGTCTCTGTGCCGGAGCTGAGGTCTTTCCTTGGGCTGGTGAATTATTGTGGAAAGTTCATATATAACCTGGCCTCCATCCTGGCACTTTTGCATCAATTCATAAAAAAGGGTCAGCCTTGGAAATGGTTGCTTAGCCAAGCCATAGCTTTCAGGGAAATGAAGAAACAGATATCATCCTGTAAGGTGATGGCACACTATGATCTCAAATGAGATCTGGTATTGACATTCGATACCTCCCCGTAAGGCACTATGAGTATTAGCTCATATGGTGGCCCAATGGAGAGGAATGCCCAATACAGTATGTATCCAGGACTTTGGCTAGTGCAGAGCATAAGTATGCCCAGATAGAGAAGAAAGGTTTGGTGGCCATATTTGGAGTCAGGAAGTTCCACCAACACCTTTACGGGCATAATTTTGTAATAATAATGTACCACAAACCCCTGCTAAGTGTCCTTAAAGAGGGCAAGGCAGCGCTACCCATAGCTTCAGGCCAAATTCAGCAGTGGGCTCTAATACCATCCAGGAAGCCAAGTAGCCAAAGTGGATGGATTGAACTGCCTCCCACTGGCAGATACACCACCAGTAGTACCGCCACTGAACGAGTCTGTCATGGTTTTAAATTTTTTGGACACACTTCCAGTCACAGCTGACAATATCAGACTTTGGACGCAGAAAGATCAGGTCCTGACAAAACTGAAACAGCTGCTGGTGATGGGGGACTAGAAATGAAACTTTTTTTGACATGGAGAGACCAGATCACAGTAGAGAATGGCATTTTATTATGGGAAACAAGAATGATTCTTGTTTCCCATAATAAAATGTCGCTACCAGATACTGGCTGAACTCCAACAGGGTCATCCAGGGGTTTCCAAAATGAAGATGTTGGCAAGAAGTTATGTCTGGTAGCCAGAACTGGATGCAGGCATAGTCACGTTGTTGGGGCAGTGCTCAGTGTGCGAACAAGGGCAAAAATTACCACCAGCAGCGCCCCCGTGGGAAAGGCTGGGTAAATTACTTCAGCAGAAAAGGTTTGGTGTAGGAACCACAGGAATGGTCCTGCATGGGTAAGAGGCATGGTCAATGTGCGGTCAGGTCCTGTGGCGTATAAAGTTCGAGTAGGAGAGATTGTCCTGAAGACACATGTGGACCATATGAAAGCTGCAAACTTGCAAATGGTGCGGGAGCAAAATGTGTCCAGCTGCTCAGAACAGTTGGTAACATTGTTGGAACCCATAGGTTGTCCCACTCCATCAAGTGTTGAAGAGACCTTGGGATCTGAGATGGACATGGCAGATGTCACCACCACGCCTTTGCTGCCCGAATGGGAGAATGACTTTATTCCGAGACGCTCCTGGTGCAAGAGTTGAGCTAATGTGTGTTACATGCTGCTTGCATCAGAAGCAGAGTTGCAGGAACCTAACCGGATGCTAATATGTCCCAGGAGCTACAAAAAACATAACCGGCCGATGACCTTGGACCCAGAGAGGGAGGGTTGTAGTGATTGTTACAAGGTCAACCAGGTCGACCTCATATGAGTTCCCTGACAGGGGCTGTTAATCTTGTCCAATCAGGGAGCCCAGGCTGACAGATACGAATAGGAGTGTCAGACACCCTGTTCGCTCTGACAGCTGGCTCTGATGGAGTTGGATCAGTATCTAGGGCTCTCCATGTGTAAATAAAGGGTGATTTGGTGACAGGATACTGGCCTCTGTGGAATTATTTCAGTCAGCAATGTCTGGGACAGTGAGGTGTACAGCACGCAGAGAGTGATAAGGTTGTCGGGGGTTAGGAAGCCCAAAGATTTGTGCACTGTACAATGCAAGGGACTGTATAAAATGTTCTTGCCCTCTATAAGGTCCTCAAATTGGTTGGACTTGCAGATCCCCTCCTTCACAGGTCAAGACACATAGCCCACCCACTCCCGGTAGGGTCGCAGCTGGTTTCTTTGCTGTTGTGTAGTTTTGATTTCTGGAATGATGGAAGATGACAGAGAGCTCTTTATGGGGGGGTGGGTTTCAGCCTCTGCTTCTACGTGCTGATGAGACCCTCAACCTCCTGGTAGCCCCTCTGTGAAACCCGTAGGTTCCACACCTCCACAGGTGTCCACCCAAACCATCTACGTGATTCCGCACCTACCCACCTTACCCCCACCCAGACCCTGGCGTATCCAATCTAAGTGTGGTCATACACTGCAAAGCATGGCCTACCCCATAGCCAAGGAGCTCCTGACCATGGATGATTCCCCCTCCCGCATTTCTCCATTCCATCCATTTTTATTGCATTGAAGCAAAACACTGCAGAAACAGAGAATGCTGTAGAAATTCAGCAGGAATGACAACACCTGTGGAGAGAGAAACTGAGTTTTGAGTCCGGTATGATTCTTGTTCAGAGCAGGACAGTCCTAGACTTGGGCTGTTGTGGTAGAGTAGTAGCGTCCCTACCTCTGCACCAGGCAGCCTGGGTTCAATTTCCACCTGCTCTGGGGTGGGGTGGTGTGTGTCCTAACATCTCTGAACAGGTTGATTAAAACTACAGAAAACCCTGGGTGAGATTGACCCAGGATCCTGGCATTTGTTTTTCCATCTCCCTGACTGCATAAGCCCCTAAACCCCAACACATGACAGGCCACTATGGAGCCACAAGACTGACGGTACCCCATGCCCTGGATTGCAAATGCACAGACCTCCTAACCAATACCTCCCTGCCCAGATGTTGAACCATAGCTGATCCCTTGGACTGGTTAAGGGATGTTGCTCTTGACGCACTGGGCCAGGACCCCTCATGAATGGCTGCCTCTATGGACTTCAATGAGCACTACTCCCCTAAAAACTTTGAGGCATGATTTCCTGCTTTTGCTGCATGTGCAATGTGCTTGCTGGGGAAGCGGCTGGTATTTGATGCTGGTATGGGATTGAAATAGCACACTGCCATATGGTGGGGACTGATGACCCGCAAAGCCAGCTTCCTGACTGTACGACTGCAAGGAATGGCAAGGCAGAGTTGCTGTGAGTGTATGGGTAGGTGCAGCAAACAGCAAGCGAACTGGCCTGAGCTACAACCTGGCAAAATCGCGGTGGCACTGTGGGTCAGTGGTTAGCACTGCTACCTCACAGTGCCAGGGACCCAGGTTCAATTCCACCCTCAGATAACTGTCTTTATGGAGTTTGCACTTCTCCCTGGGAGAATGTTTCCTCGGGGTGCTCCGGTTCCCTCCCACAGTCCAAAGACGTGCAGGTTAGGTGGATTGGCCATGCTAAACTGCCCGTGGTGTCCAGGGATGTGCAGGCTAGGTGGTTTAGCTATGAGAAGTGCAGAATTACAGGGAGAGGAGGTAGGGGAGTGGATCTGGGTGGGATGCTCTTCAGAGGGATGGGCTGGGCTCATGGGTTGAATGGCCTGCTTCCACACTGTGGGGATTCTACGATTCTATGAAAATCCAAGAACTGGGGGACTGTCCTTGCAGCGAGTTGCTGGTACACCCTGAAATGCAGCTCTCAACTTCCTAATTGTCCTGCAAGTGGATTGGAGAGGTGCCATAAGGATCATGATTGACAATTACCGGATCTGTGGATGAGGTGGGTGTGTGTGTACAGCTGGTGACTGTTGACTTCACCCTGCGATGCTGTTTGATGCTGTGCAACATGGAGACCCATTGAAGCAAGTGGTGAGCTGAAGGCACCAGGACTCCTCCCTGATGACCATGTTGAGAATTCCCAGTGTCTAGTTTTCTCATGGAGGTTGGCAGCATAGAAAGCTGCACATTAATGTGCAGGTAATAAGGTTGTTAACAAGCAATAGCCCCTGTTGAGAGGCAACTTGCTACTGCCTGGTGAGATTCTGTCTTCCATGTTTGGAACTGAGTTAACAGAAGCAGCGAATTGTTCCTGAAGTCGTGATAAGTCTCACTAGATTCTCTCCATGTCCTTCAGGCCTTTCTAAGATTGTGTCCATGGAGTATGGAGCATAATCGCTGATGTAGACCATTTGGGCTTTTTTTATCATTTGTGGGATGTGGGCATCCAGCATTTCTTGCCCATCCCTAGTTGCCCTTGAGAAGGTGGTGGTGAGCTGCCTTTTTGAACTGCTGCGGTCCACCTGCTGTGGGTTGACCCAGAATGCTACTAGGGACGGAATTCCAGGTTTTTGACCCAGCGACAGTGAAGGAACGGCGATATATTTCCAAGTCACGATGGTCAGTGGCTTGGAGGGGAACTTGGACGTGACGGTGTTCCCATATATCTGCTGCCCTTGTCCTTCTAGACGGAAGTGGTCATGGGTTTGGAAGATGCTGTCTGAGGATCTTTGGTGAATTTCTTCAGTGCATCTTGTAGATAGTACACACTGCTGCTACAGAACGTCGGTGGTGGAGGGAGCGAATGCTTGTAGATGTAGTGCTGAATGGCCAGTTTCAATGTCTCAGTATTTGATGTAATCAGTAAGATAATAGATATGAGAAAAACTGAAGGGTGTGTTTTCAGAAGTGTTGTAAGGACAGCCATTAGCTGTGTCCTTGTTGCTGATCATGTTCATTGTCATGGAAACTGGAAGTGAGGGAAAGTAATAAAAAAAAGACTGACTTAATTTAATTACTTTGAAGGAAAATTGTTAGGCTTGTAATTATCTAAATGCCAAAAATGACAAATATCCTGGGAGTGTGGACCAGCCCTTAAAATGTGAAGGTGAGTTGCACTGTTATCTCTGAGCGCTCTGGTGTAGATTACATCCACGAAGATGTATAAACCACACCTGAGATTCAGTATAAAGAGAACTTGTAACAAGTTAGCTACAGCGACAAGTCTTCAGCCTTCGCTTCACTCTCACTCTGTGCAGTGCTCAGCAGGCTGCCTTCAAGACAGGAGGTTAGTTGTCAAGATTTAGTTTTCCTTCTATTTATTTAAAATTGACAATTTTATATTAAAATGGCAAGTGTGGAATTTTCTTTGTGATTAATGGGAATATTTTCACACAGTACCGATGTCAGCTGCAGCATAATTCCACTTTTAAGCTTGCTTTTGATACATTGTGTGGAGCTGGACTTTCAGACAGCTGAGAAACATCTCAGTGTATTAATACATATCTATCACCTTCTCCGACGTTGTAGACACAATCTTCACTTGTCAGGTTGCACTTCTCCAAAAGATTGTTATTTGTAGGAAACTAATCCTCAGAAGGAACCTTTACTATCTTTTATGCACTCAGTAAAAGATGTTCAGCACGACTAATGGAAAATATTACGATATGGGTTAACTGTTTAAATCAGGGCTTCAATTGTCCTCTTGTGCTCTGCAGCACAGGTCTATTGTTTGATATACACCCTTTGATGCAGAGCAACGACAACAGTGTGGGTTCAATTTCTTCAGGGTCTGAGGTACCACAAAGGACGCTCCCTAACCTCTCCACTTGCCTGAGATGTTGTGACCCTCCGGTTAAACCACCACAAATCATCTCTCTCTAATGAGAAAGCAGCCCTATGGTCTGGTAAGGCTATGGCAACTTTTACCTTCATAAGGGGATAATCTTTGGGCATAAACTGAGCACAGAATCAAAAGCGTGATGGGGGACGTTTGTATGCATTTTATAAAACTGTCTGAATTTTATCTCAATTTATTATAACAGAAGGAACAGTGCATGGTGGGATACTTAATGTGTAAGTGTTAAACAAATCTCTGCTAAGGAGGTTATTGTAGCTTCAACCTGTTTATCAGTATCGCACTGTTAAAAATCTTTTTCTTTTAAACGACTTGGAGTGTGTAATGGTTTCAATGTTCACTTTTAATAACTGTGTTTGAAATATTTTCTCTACCTTAATTAAATGATAATCCCAGAAAAAAAAACAACTCCCTTTAGGATGTAAAATCTTTGAGATTAGATGGAAAGTAATTTTCTTGTTATTTATTCAAACATCTCCTATTTACCAGGTTTGAAATTTGGCCTAAAATGCTAGCTTGCCCTTTCTCATTGTGAGTGACAGTTCTGTTGTGTAAGTGCATGATGATTTAATCTCAGATTCACAAGGGTTTTATTCTCTTTGTGTGGACAATAGGCTGGTCTATCTGGGTCATTTCCTTTCTTCAGCTCCAGTTATTATTTTCAGCTAAATTGTCATGAACATCTCATATTGAAAGGGAACCCAGTATACAGTGACAGAATTGGCTCAGTATCAAATTAACCTGACCTTGTGAGTCCAAAAAATCCAGTGGTGGCACAGGAAGTTACAGCCAATTGATTGCAATACAATTATTAACTAAGAAAAGGATCTTCATCTGAGAATATTCTGTAAAGAAACCCAGAATTTTTCAATGATTTTCAAAAAGCTGGAAGTGGTGTGAGGAACAATCGATTGACAGCACTTTTTCCCAACACTGTGTAGCCTTTGTGTTCTATTTTGCATATCACTAGCTAGAGCATCATTTATGGCCCATCCCTAACTGCTTTCGAGTTGTTGGTGCGGCACTCTTGAACCGCTGTAGTCTTTGGAGGTTTAGGAACACCTTCAGTATTATTACCTTCAGAATTTGGACCCAATGATAGTGATATATTTCCAGGCTAGAATGGCAAATAGCCTGAAGGGGAGCATACAGGTGACGGTGCTCCCACATGCATCTGCTGCCCTTGTCTTTCTAGGGGGTGGATGACCTGCTTTAGGATGGTGCTGTTAAACGACCCAGGGTGAGTTGATGCAGTGTATCCAGTAGATGATACACATTGCTTCAGGTAGTCACAATAACAGGAAACAGAAACACAAACATAAAATCCTGCATGCAGTTGGGTTCCACTTGGCCTCCCAGCCATCATTTTATAAATGATGAAATTCTATGACTTTGCATTTCACTCATCTATATGATAGTTAAGATCCTTATTCCTTTTCACAGAAAAGTCTGAAGTTGTTTCTGGTTTTGGAAAGTGCCACATTTGACCAGCAATGAAGGGGAATACACCAGTTCTTAACTGGACTTTTCCAGTGAAGTTGATGACATTTGTCATCATTGGTAAGTCAATTCTTTGGCTGTTTAAACTTCAGAAATTGTCTGTAACCTACAGGAGGTTGTAGGTGTGAAATAAAAATGATGCATTTTAGATTGGGCTGGTTTCTCTGCTTTGACACGCAGTCCCTTACATGCCATAAATAAAACTGTCTGACAGACCGACAACTGTGTTAAAAATCTGATAGAAAAGGGTCTTCTCAGTGGCCAGACTCAGTAAGTCCCAGCAGTTTTTAAACTTGGTTTTTCAACAGGCTGAAGAAATCCTACACTTAGAACTCAGTACCACAAACAAAAATTTAGAAAAAAAATTAAATCTATCATCAAAGCAATTGAAATTGTGGAAGTCTACACTTCAGAGTTCTTGAGAGTTCCCTGTTCAAAGATTCTTTCATTTTGATTACAAAAAATTTCCATGGAAAATTTGGTAGGAATGAATGCTGAAATAATCAATGGCACAAAAACAGAAATTGCTGGAAAAGCTCAGCAGCATCTGTGGAGAGAAAGCAGGGTTAACGTTTCAGGTCAGGCGACCTTAGACCTGCTGAGCCTTTCCAGCAATTTCTGTTTTTGTTTCTGATTTATACCACTCGCAGTTCTTATGGTTTTTATTTAAAATAATCAATGGTGTCTTTTGATTTGATTGCACTTGAAGCTGTTGAAGCATTTTGCAGTTTTGCGTAATCTTCAAGTGATTCACTCTGAGTATTGCAACAGTACTGACTGTGTAATTACAGGTTTATGTAACTTTAATCATTTTCCCTTAGTCGGAGTGAGTTCTGCACCTTCTCCATCAAATTGCTGATGTTCAGTATTGAGTTAGGCAACTGGAATCAGTCTCTTTTTCCTATTTGAAGCACAGAGAATGCTAGAGAAATTCAGAAACTCTGGCAGCATATGTGGAGAGAGAGAAATGGAGACAATGTTTTGAACCTGGTATGACTCTTTCTGAAGTCATTTCAGACTCGAAATGTTAACTCTGTTTCTCTCTCCACAGATGTTGCCAGATTTGCTGAGTTTCTCTAGCATTCTGTTTGTTTCAAATTTCCAGTGTTTTATTTTTATTCTTTTTCCTCTTTGATGTGTCACATCAATCAGATGCTGCACTCAAATTTGAAATACCTATGTTTTGATGAACAAATAATTTGTGGGGATTTCCTTTAACATATGGTTTTGATATTTCCTTTATAGGTTTGTTTTTGACCATTTTGCGTGCACAGCTGGTAAGTTGGGGGAAAAAAATTCTGTGGCACATTTACACAAAATATTTCCAAATGTACGTGCATTCCCTGTCTGTCATGTAGACAGTGTTTCCCATACAGTGCTAACCAGTGACTGTAGCATGGCTGGGGAAGACTTTACTGGGGGAAGCTGCAGATGACTTTTCAGATTGAGCTGAAGCTGTTCTTGGTCTGAAGGATGCAAATTTAGTCACGGAATGCTCCACCTTGACAGGAATGGTAGGAGCTGGTGCTGGCTCACTGACAACCAAACACCAAAGACACTGATGGAGTGAGGTTGCTGACTTGTTTGCCGAGCTGGGTTGTTTTCTTTCAGACATTTCGTCACCATGCTATGTAACATCATCAGTGAGTCCTCCAACGAAGCGATGTTGCTCTACTCCACTTGGAATTTACACTGTCCGGTCTGTTATGGTGAGTAGTATCATTTCCAGTTTTGTTCTATATGGGTTTGTATATGGGGTCCAATTCTATATGTTTGTTGATTGCCTTATGGGTTGAGAACCATGCCTTTAGGTATTCCTGTGCATGTCTATGTTTGGCTTGGTTATAGTTTATAAAATACCATGCAACAACTGCCACAAACATTACATCAGACAGACAGGAGGGAAACTTGCCATCAGAATATGTGAACATCAGCTAGCAGCAAAATGACACTATAACCTTTCCTTAATATGAGTACATTCAGACAAGGAAGGCCATCAGTTTAACTGGGACAACGTAACCATAGTAGCCCAAGCCAAACATAGACACACACGGGGATTCCTAGAGACATGGTTCTTAACCCATAATGCAATCAACAAACATAGAATTGGACCCCATATATAAACCCATACAGAACAAAACCAGAAATGACACTACTCACCATAATGGACCAGACAGTATAAATTCCAAGTGGACTAGAATAACATCACTTCATTGGAGGCCTCACTGATGATGTCACCTAGCATGGTGATGAAACGTCTGAATGAAAACAAGCCAGCTCGACGAGCAAGTCAACAACCACACCCACAACCCGAGCTACAAATCTTTGCTAAAAGTTTAAACACTGATGGAGTGGCAATGGCGGGAGCACAAATACGGTCACCCCAGCAGAGGACAGCTGGTCCGCAGGGCAATGTTCCCTTCAAGGATTGCTGCCTGTCTGTGATGGAGAGGATTGCGTGTTCTGATGATCCCTTGAGTGATGCTATTGGCAGCTTGCTCATGGTAGGGTCACCCATGGCAGTAAGTTCACAGTAGTGTGCTGTAGGAATCAGTGCATGGGCCTCAATTATTTACAATATATATTAATGAACTGGATAGGGAAAATGAATGTGCTATAGCCAAGGATGATGCAAAAGTAGGTGGGAAGGCAAGTGGTGAGGATGATACAAAGAGTCTGCAAGGGGATACAGACAGATTAAGTGAGTGGCAAAATCTTGGTAGGTAAAATATAGTATGGGGAACATCTAAAGTTATGGACTTTGGAAGGAAGAATATAGGAGCTGAAAATTATTTATGTGGAGAAAGACTTCAGAAAGCTAAGGAGCAGAAGGATTTAGGAGTCTTTGCCCATGAATCACAAAAGTTCACTTGGTAAAAGGGAAGGTAAATGGAATGTTGGTCTTTATTTCAAAGGGAATGAGATATAAAAACAGAGAGGTCTTGCTAAAACTGTACAATGCTCTAAGCTGACCACAGCTGGAATACTGTGAACTGATTTGGTTTCTCTATCTAAGGAAAGATAAACTGGCATTGGAGACAGTCCTGAGATGGTTCATTAGGATGATTCTCAGTGTACAGACAGTCCTAATGGTAAAGGTGGTGAAGATTGAGCCTGTACTCATTGGAGTTTGGAAGACTGAGAGGAAACCTTATTGAAACATACAAGATTTTTAGAGGACTTGACAAGGTAGGTGTAGAAAGGTTGTTTCCCCTTGTGGGAGAGTCTAGGACCAGAGTGCAACATCTCAGAATAAGAGGTTGCTTATTTAAGGCAGCTGAGGATAAATTTCTTTCCTCAGAGAGTAATAAATCTTTACCACAGAGAGATTTGGAGGCTGGGTCCTAAAATATTTTCAGGGCTGTGACAGACAGATTTTTAATCAATAGGGAATCCAGTGTGTTTTGGGCGAAAAGCAGGAAAGTGGAGTTGAGGATTATCAGATCAGCTATGATCTCTTTGGATGGCACAGCAGACTCGATGGGCTGAATGGCCTACTTCTGCTGCAATGTCTTGATGTTGGTATGGGAGGTGTGGGACAAAGTTGGGTCCAAAACATCCTCAAGGACAGAGTGAGTGAAGGAAGACCAGTTGAAGTGATGGGGGAGGGAGCTCTAGTGTAGTATGTGAAAGGTGATGGAGAGGGTCAGTTCCACCAGTCCCAAGACATTGTGTGGGGTGGGGAATGGGGGATGCGGGGTAGGGGGTAGTTGCTGCATCCCTACAAAATTACAAAATCCTCTCAAGCAGTGAGCGTGTTGCTCTCCAGGGACAAGAGGTTGTTGCCTGTGTGGGTGCCATTTAAGGATGTTACCCAGACCTTTGACTCTTGAGGTGATGGTGGTCACCACAACTTTGCCTGTCACATGATTGGTCAAGGCTTTTGAGTCCTCGTATCTCATTGGTTGGCCACTGTTGATTGTGCACGGGCAGCCCCCTTACCTCCAGGTGGAGCATCGTACACATCCGGTCCCTGCTGATCCCTTCTGGTCCCTTCCGGCTGTTGGAACCTTTGCCACATGAAGACAATCCCACACTTCATCCTGACGCTGCACCGGCCAACTACACAGCAGTTCCTGGGAGTGTCTAAAAGCAGAAAGGCATCGTGGAGCCAGGGGAAAGTTGGGATGGGTGGACGTGTGAGCTGGGATGGAGGGAAGAAAGCTTATGGTCAGATCAGCAGTGACTTCCACTTCATGGCAGATTGCAGGATGAGCATGATGAGGGATTTGAAAAGGTACGTAAAGCAGGAATATAGTGTCATCGTCAATATTTGCGGTGAAGTTGGGTGCAATGGAAACTAGAAGAGGAGTAGACCATTTGGCCTTTTGAGCCTGCTGGAACATTCAGCATGATCATGGCTAATCCTCTAACTCAATGCCATACTCCTAAATTCCTTGATGCCTTCAAATTCTAAAAATGCATCTAAGTCATAGCCGGCTTTATGCTGTGGAGTAACGTGACCTCAAGACAGCTCAAGAAATGCAGTGTGTCTCTTCCCTAAGTGGTTTTATGTTGATCTTTTCATTGTAGGTCATCTTGACAAGCAATAGGAGGGTGGAACTTTAATGGGTGTGTTGTATTGTCTTGTGCCTCACATGGCTGAATAGCTGGAGGTTTGTGGATGGACGGTGAGAGGTGAGTGTGAGGCTGGCAACATTGTAAAGTGAGGAAGAGAGACCTGGAATGTCTAAAAGCTGAACTGGAGTCTTTTCCTGCTGCTGAGTGCTGGGAAGGTGGTGCATAGCAAAGCGTGAGAGAAGTCATTGATACATGGGGCAGGTGATGTCCTTTGAAGATATGTCACTGGTTTTGACCACTTGCACCACAGCCAGGCTTTTGGGGTCAGACTCTGTGAACTAACCTCGCAGAGCACCTGATCCCCGTCCCCTTCTTCAGGTCAAATATAGCCAATACCTTCAGCATCACATCCGCAAATGTAGGAGCCCTCTCTTTGGGTGTCCATTTGCTATGTTATAGCTCCAAGCCCAGCCTCCACCATGATTACAGCATTTAAAAAGTATCTGGATGGGTATATGAATAGGAAGGGTTTGGAGGGATATGGGCCAAATGCTGCCAAACGGGACTAAATTTATAAAGGATATCTGATCGGCATGGATGAGCGGGACCGAAGGGTCTGTTTCCGTGCTGTATATCTCTATGACTCTAAATGTAACTGATGTTAAAACAAAGCAATATAATATGTGGCAATGTTAAATGGGGACTTTGAAGACCATGCTGCTGCTGGCTGACAGTGTCCTCAGCAGAGGGTCTCGGTTTATATGTGTGGATGCACAGCTGGCCTGGCCAGCTCTTCCGTCTTCAAAAGGAGCTGCCCTCAGTCAACAGAAGCTGCTAATTCTGTTTCTGAAAGGCTGGGCTTGGAGCTATAACATGGCAAATGGAGCCACAGGGCACCCACAGAGGGGGCTCCTGTATTTGCGGATGTGATGTTGAAGTTATTGGCTATATTTGACCTGAAGACGGGAATGGGGATCAGGTGCTCTCCGAGGTTAGTTCACAGAGTCTGACCCCAAAAACCTGGCTGCGGTGCAAGGGGTCGAAACCAGTGACATATCTTCAAAGGACATTGCCTGCCCTGTGCATCAATGAATTCTTTTACGGAGCTTGTAATCTTGTTGAACTTCACGAGATTCATTTGAATCTTGTTTCCCACCTTGATCTGTAGCGTATCCCATTTTCTACCCCTTTGAATTGTTGTCTCTCCCCAACAGCTACAGGTCCACATATCCACCAGTTATTCCTGTCTCTACTGATACATACAGTAATCCTGGGGAACCCTTGAGATAACTTACTGAAAAGGTTTGGCAAGGGGCAGCAAGTTAAGTCTCCAGGTATTCTAGATTTGGTTTTCTGGTGGTGTAGACAAAAGCAAGAAAATTCTTCTTTCAAAGTTGCCACTATCTTGTCACTATCTCTGTGGTGTACAGCATTAATGTGCTCCGAAAGTCACTCTCTTTTACAGAAGTATGATCATTCTGACCTAAAACTGCAGAGAATTCACACCTTCTCTCACTTAGTCAGTTCTGGGACCTGGTTTAAACCAAACTAAAAACGGGTTTGTCCAAACAGCACATTGTGTTGCAGACCGAGACATGTCTCATTTACCTGCTCATCTCATATCAAGACCCAATCGGAAGAAGGGAGACAGAATGGGAAAGGAAAGAGAAAATGTGGAAAATGAGAAAAAGAGCAAGACAGAGTTAGAAAGAAGGCAGACAGAGAAAGAAGAGAGACCGAGAGACATGGGAAGGTCTGTGCTATTCATGGGCTGTTATCACCATAAGCATGAGCTAGCGACAGAGTGAAAGGGTTAACATTTCAGATGATACTCATGAGCCTCTGAAGTGTGTACTTAGCAGAGGCTGGTCAGCGTCATCCAATTAGAATATAACCAGTATTTACGTTAAGTGAAGGATTTAGTGAGTTATTTCAGCTAGGAATGCACACGAATGGTGTCATGTACTGTCAATAAGATAGCAGCACCAAATGCAGGTGCTGCTTGCTTCAATGGGACCAGGAGCAAGTTAATTGCATGTTACGATCCCTGTAACTGATATTGGGCTCAATACAATCATTTTCCTGCAGTGCTTGTAAAAGCAACAGATGGAGGCAGTCTATGCCACATGCTGACTAGTGGTGGGTAATGATGTGGAGGTGCTAGTGTTGGACTGGAGTGGACAAGGTCAAAAATCACATGGCACCAGGTTATAGTCCAACAGGTTTATTTGAAAGCACAAGCTTTTGGAGTCCCGTTCCTTCTTCAGGTGTTAGTGAGAGAGGTAGTATCACACACCGAATTTAGAAGTGTCTGATGCCACCTCTCTCACTAATACCTGAAGAAGGAGCGGGACTCCAAAAGCTTGTGCTTTCAAATAAACCAGTGTGTCATGTGATTTTTGACCTAGTGGTGTGTGCAATATACTTGATATAAATGTTTACAGTGTGTTACTTCATTGTTCATTGAAGCTGTATTACATAAACAAATTGAAAGTTGTTATTACTTTGCAATCTGCAGGGTGTTGGAGAGAACATGTCACAAAGCTCCAGCCAGACGTTATCTAAAAGGAGAATGAGACGGGCCACTGGTGAGTAACAGACAATGGCATGCATACATCTGACTGAGGCAACCGAATATATCCCGCTAACTGCCCTTGGCCAGATTATGAGGCGTTAGCTGTTTATTGCAAGGTTACTGCTCCCTATTTCTGTGGTGCTGCTCTCTGCCACGATTCTGTCCTACTATAGTGACAGCCTTCACCCCCGCTCCCTGTGCTATTGAAGACACTGAGTAACCAAGGGCCACCTTGAGGAAGTGTTTGCCAATGTTTTCTTCCTTAGCGAGGTTTAAAAAAATTACATGACATTTGACAGTGGAGTAGGATCCACTGATGATCCGGCAGTCTCATCGCCCCTATTGTTTGTGACATTATTATGGATATAAAAACACAATAGAATCACATGAAATGCATAAATTAAGTTCCCATTGGAGAACAACACTAAATGAATTCCATCCATATTGTGATGGATCACTGGCTGCATTGTTCTGTCTATTCTATGTATGTCATTAACAACTGTTCAAATTTAATTTCTACTGATTACAGCTGAAGTATAGAATAAACCCAAGCAAGTATTTCAGTACCACAATGTAGAAATGGGGATATTGCTGAAGCAACCAGCATTCCTTTCCCTAGAGTATATTTTCCTAAACAACCTGCTCAGAGATGTTATGACACACCTCTGGAGTAGGTGGGACTTGAACCTAAGTCTCTGGGCTCAGAGGTAGGGACACTATCACTGCACCACAAGAGCCCTTCCTGCTTGCTGCTTCTCAAACATATTTCAGCTGTGGCTGCATTTCAATGTTCCACATGTAGCACAATGATCAAATGACAATTGCTGAGGCGGGATGGAGGGGTGGGGGAGGAAGAATTTTGTTCCGCATGGGTTGGAGATTCAAACAGTGGGGACACGGGGACAGAAAAACCAAGACAGCTATCGTTTTACAGGATTTGTTGGTGTCTGTAGTCCAGCCTCAGCTCATTGGATTAAACCATGCTGAAATGCTGCAAGAACTGTGCAGACTGATAACCTAACTCAGAATTGACACTTCCCGCTGCCTTGGGAAAGCAGCCAACATAATCAAAGACCCTGTCCACCCCGGTTATATTCTGTCCATTGGGCAGAAGATACAAAATTATGAAAACCCATACTAAAAGATTCAAGAACAGCTTATTTCTCGCTGTTATTAGACTTGTGAAGAGATGTCTCAGATGTTAGAGTTGATCTTTCCCTGCACCTTCTGTAAGACTATATTCTGCATTCTGTTTTATTACGCTGATGTGCTTCTGCAAGTTATGATTTGTCTGGACAGCATGCAAAACAATACATTTCACTGTATCGCGATACATATAACAATAATAAATGAAATCAAAAATTGGATTCTCAGCTCCACAGCTACCATTGCTGCCCCAAAAATGGCCCAGAGTTTAGGAATAGCTGCTTCAGGTGCCTTAGGAAAGGTTTATAGAATTCTGAAAAGCAAATAGTGAGAATTAACTGAAGAACCAGCTCCTAAAGGGGCACTATAACTATCTGGCTCCCTGATAGCGCAGGAGTAAAATTGAGTGAAAAATTATTGTGTTCCAGACTTAAAGTGACATTCTCGCTAACATGCTTATCACAGAATAATTATAACTGGACATCAGATAGGGTGAGGGGCTGAACTTTTCCATTTTTATTTACCCCCAGTCTTCTTGTTCTGAAGAAAGTGCTGATTATCAGATGAATGCAGCAACATTTTGATAATCCATGCAAAATCCAAATGGTACATTTTCTACAGTCTCTTCAAAGTTCAGATATACTACGTCAGCAGGATCCTATGGGCGTCTGAGTTACACGGCCTATGTGGAAGAATTGGATGAGGAATCTGGCTAGGCATTGGGACCATCTCACTGAATCTTTGGTGTCTTTGCTGAACAGGGGTGACAGGTTTCACACTAGACAGCTGTGAGTTACCAACCAAGGAGGATTATATCTCGTTAAATGCCTTACTAAAGGCTCAACTTCTGTTATTAATATTCAGCTTCCCATCTCCTCTAAGCACACCAAGTAGGTTAGACGCTGAGAAATCTTGACATGTAGGATGTTGAGGGAAACTGGCGGTAAAGGATCTGCATGCTGGACATAGGCACCAACATCTCAGAGGGAGCTGCATGGGCACTGGCCGCACACCATCCCACATCCATAGACGTTGACATCTGACATGTGCCAGCTTATGCTGACACTTGCAGGGCTCTTCTGCTCTCCAAATGCTGCACCTCAGTCTTCACCAGCAACTCTCATTGTAATGCTGCAGCAATGACACTGTGCTTAGGGACAGGCACACAGCTTATGGATTGGGCCCAGACTGTATCTCCGGGCTCTTAGCTCGCTGTCAGTGCTCACTCTCTCTGAGCCTGCCTGGGTGCTCGCAGAATGCCTGCCTTCCATTTATGTGCTTTGTCCCCTCAGCCAGAGATAACAGGCTCATATTACTCTTGTCTTGCTTTGCTGCTTTACACAAATGCAGCATATTACGTTTGTCAGTAAACTTCAGTCAAGCCAAGGGAGATAGCCTTCAGTCAGGGGCTTCCAGCAAAGCCAAGGGGGGGGATAACCTTCAGTCAGGGGCTTCCAGCAAAGCCAAGGGGGGGGATAACCTTCAGTCAGGGGCTTCCAGCAAAGCTAAGGAGGGGGATAACCTTCAGCCAGGGGCTTCCAGCTAAGCCAAGGTGGGGATAGCCTTCAGCCAGGGCCTCACAGTGCAGTAAGTTAAGAGCAGCCTCTGATAGTAGTCCAGGTCTGGACATGGTCAGTCAGCTGTTTCTGCTCATCAGGGGTCAGGGGCTGAAATTTTGACAGCCCAGAACCGTCTTGACTCTGTCCAGCTGCTTTCACAGAAACATCGAAAATAAGGAGTAGTACTAGCCATTCGGCCCTTCAAGCCTGATCTGTCATTCATTATGATCACGGTGGATCATTTGACTCAGGACCCTGTTCCTGCTTTCGTCTCGTAATCTCTTTAGCCCTAAGAACTGTATCTACCTCTTCCTTGAAAATATTCAACGTTTTGACTTCAACTGCTTTCTGTGGCAGGGAATTCCACAGGCTCACTACTGTCTGGGTGAAGACATTTCTCCTCATCTTTGTCCTAAAAGGCCTACCCCACACGCTCAAACTGTGACCCCTGGTTCTGGACTCCCTGATCACCAGGAACATCCTTCCAAAAAGTACCCTGTCTAGCCCTTTTGGAATTTTATAGGTTTCTATGAGATACCCCCTCATTCTTCTAAACTCCAGTGGCTATAATCCTAAACAATCCAATTCTTCTTCATTTGCCAGTCCTACCATCCCAGGAATCAGTCTGGTAAAACCTTTGTTGCACTCCCTCCACAGCCAGGACATCCTTCCTCAGATAAGGAGATCAAAACTGTACGTAATACTCCAAGAGTGGTCTCACTGCTCTGTACTAGTGCAGCAAGACATCCCTGCTCGTGTTTCCTTCTGGAACAGGAGAGGTAGGTAATAAAGGGCTCAATAGTGGTGCAGATGTCTCAAGTGAGTGAGTAAGCAGTGCTGTAGGCAATAACAGAGCATGAAAGTTGGTGGGAGGTGGCTACTGTAGCAGAGATGGAGTGAGTGTGAGGCATCGGAGAGAAGATGGTCACACTTACGCTGGCAGAGTGCAGAGGTCATTGACCTTCCCCTTACAATGCTGCTGGATGGCTGAGATTAGGTTGGCATAGTTTGGTGTCATTGACTCTGCTGCTGGTCCTGGGAGTGGAGGGCATCCTGTGCCAGCAACAACCAGTCCCCAGGAACCTGCCCAAAAGAGGAGGTCCCCACTAATTCACCCCATCCATCCGCCATTTCTGAGGTAAATGACAGGAACAGCATGGGGCAGCTCCCAACTGACAGTGGACTTTTAAAGATGGTGAGGGCACTGGTGAATTCTGGCCTATCCCAGTAGTGGTGAGCTCTTCTGGGAGCAGTGCATGGTTAAACAGAACAGGATCAGACCTGAGGGTTACTATAGGAGTGGAGTCGATAGGTAATGAGGCACATTTAGTAAAATATGGTGAGAAAACTCAATGTGCCTCATGGTGAAAAACCCTCCAAATAATACAACTCGCAGTTAGTGCATGAAAAACTTAAGATTCAACTGTGAATGTTTCATCAGTTCCGTCTACATTTTCAAAGAATTAGGCCATTTGGCCCATCAAATCCACACCGACCCTCCGAAGATCATCCCACCCCATACCCTATCCCTGCATTTCCCACCCTAGACATTACGGACAATTTAGGCTGGCCAATCCACCTAACATGTGCATCTTTGGACTATGGGAGGAAATGCACACTGACACAGGGGAAATATGCAAACTCCACACAGACAGTTGCCCAAGGCTGGAATCAAACCTGGGTCCCTGGTGTATGAGGTAGCAATGCTAACCACTGAGCCACTGTGCTGCAAATTGACGTTTGTATGGTTCTAACACAGTAAATACGTTTATTTTTACAGATTGTACCATGGGCTTCATCAAAGGAGAAATGACCAGTGATTCATTGCGTCTGGCATCTTATTCAGCCAGCCAGTTAGATGCTTGTTTGAACAATAGTGTGTTGATAGCAAACCTCACTCAACTGGGACAAATAGCTTTTAGCAGAGAGCAGCTTCTTGTTCTAAAAGGGAAACTGGGAGAGGTAAGAATGTATCATTTAAAAATGTGTTTTTTTCCTGCTAAATGCTTACAGTACTCTAAGCAACCCACCACCAGGGACCATCCATTGCTGCTCATTTTGACAGTTCATTTTGTAAAGCCTAATGATTGATGGTTTCCAAGCTGTCTGAAAATCCTGGTGCACCTCATATTGCAGTGTTGGGGATTGGATTGACTTTAACCCATCAGATTTGATGACCTTGAGATATTCCAGAAAGAACCAATGAAAGGTTTGAAAAGAGTGAATGAAGAAGACATGGAATTGTCAACATTAAAATTGTCACCGAAAGAGTGGCCAATTGCTAGACCACACTTGCCTGTGTGCAAGTTGGGAAAATCTACCATTGGGTTCTATTGTAGTGATGCCAAAAGAAAGAAACCTCACAGCTATTATTGACAGATCCAGGCTGAGATTCCCCAGTTTGCTGCAGGATAGTTACAGGCAGGATACATTTAGGTCCTGGTTAGGGATTATTCACGCAGCCACTTAGTTGGTCACAACCAGGGTAATTCAAGGAAAACAAAGAAATGCAGATGCCAGAAATCTGAAATGAAAAACAGAAATTTCTGGAGAAACCCAGCAGGTCTGGTAGCATCTGTGGTGAGAGAAAGTAGAGTTAAGATTTTGAGTTCAGTGACCCCTCCTCAGAACTGATAGTAGCTCTGAAAAGGTGGTATATATGCTCAAGATAGGGGGTAGCAGGGGAATGATTGAGTGGATAGGCAGAGATGGAGCCTAGGGAGAGACAGAGAGGGAGCGAGAGAGAGAAAGAGAGAGAGAGAGAGGGTAACAGTTAGGCAGACCAAAGGGATGGTAATGGTAAACTAGGCAGAATGATGAGCTGCTAATGGGGATCATGAGTTGGTAAAAATGGGTTGGCTTTGCTGCATGCCAATGACATGACAAAGCCAGGGATGTAGGGTTGGGTAAAGGACTTGAAAGAAGGTGTTCAGATAGGCAGAATCAGAGATGTTGGCCAGGAATTAACATAAGAATGGATCCCTCCCTTGTGAAATACTGCCCCGCACCTTCCCTCCCCAACAGAGAGCCACTTAATTTACCTTCACAGCCTTTGAAATTACAAGTTAAAAATATCCAAAGTCTTGCATAATTCTGACCTATGATCATGACCCAGCCATTACACAGCATAGGGTAATGTTGAAACTTTAGATTTGTATGTTCCCAACCCTAGAATGATGTGAGCATTGGTGAGTCAGTTGGTAAAATATGACAAAATCGGCAAACACTAGATTCTCCACATCTCCAACCACCTTCTGAACAGTGAGGTGAGAATGAATGGTGAGAGGCCAATGTATTAATTTGCATGCTGCTGCTTTCCTATGAGAACTCATTTCACTTCATTGATACTCAGTTTCCCATTCTCCACCCCAGTGGATTGAAACTGGACAGTAACAATTCCCGACATGAAAGTCAGAGCAATGACTTGCTGCTTGTTCCCACAGCCCTCCATCTTGGACCCCAGGCTAACATCTTGGACCATGCTCCGTGGGGCAGTGAGCACATGCTCCCCACACCCCCAAGCCACAAACATTGATGTCGGGCATGTACGAGCCACACTGTACCCCTACAACACATCGCTGATCCACATATAATACGATCTCCATGTCAGTGCTGTACTCTGGAGCACACAGCACTTTTATTGTAATGCTGTTGACAGGACATTGTGCACAAGAACAGGTGCCTACTTCAAGGATTCAATCAGGCTGCATCTCAAAACTCTTTGCTCACTCTCTTAGTGTCCATCGCTTTCCGCCTATTTGGATGCTCACAGCATCCCTGTCTTGCCTTGCTTTCCTTTTTTTAAGTGCAAACACAAAGCCAGGCAGCTTGTCACAGTCGCCCATGGTGATCTGTCATGCATGGGACCATTCTATAGCAATGTCAGAATGCACCATCTGTCAGCAACTCATGCAACAAACACACTGCATGTACTTCAATCAAATGGCAATGTCTCAAAGCCTAAGGAGAGTAATCCTCAGTCTTACCAAGTCAGAGCAACTGCTGTCTGGCAGTGCTTGACTGGGAGCACGGCCAGACGGACCAGGAATTTTGCAAGACCCTGGCAATGGAGAGTACTTCTGCCTTTGGTGAGAAGGAAGATAGGATAGAGGCCTGGTGCATAGATACTGAGGTGAGTTTTGGAGAATTGTGTGAGAAGCCTTGCCAGGGGCCATGGGGAAATTCCTTCTGTGAAGCTCGCCAAATTTGACACCGAGTCAATATCTGCTAAAATTCATCCGGTAGTTTTGACAACTTGTGTGCTTTAATCTGATTGAATATACATTTTTTTTGATATTTTGGAGCAGATATACGTAAACAGACTGCGAGAAGAACGGATACGAAAGCTGGGTTTCATTATTACTGTGTATGGCCCTGAGGAAATTATCACATGGAACATAATGAATGTGGATACCCTTGCTCTTGTTCTAAGTAATAGCCCAAATCTGAATACGGTATGGATTAGCACCAAGCTTCTGATTGTATGACCTTCTTAAAGAGCATATTTTAAACCCTGAATTCAAATTTTGTTTGGGCCGTGACAAGAGATAGGGATAAAATGGAAACCTTTGCTTCTGAAGACTGGATAAAACATTCTCCATTCAATATTTTCTGAGAGAAGGGAAATGTACTGAGTAGGATTGTTCCCTGCCTGGTGTAGTGTGAACAGTAACAAAAAAAAATGGCAAATACATTGGGAATGAAAAATACCTGATTCTTGATGTTGAGGAATTTTTTTCCTGATATTCCTGTCTAGGCTTAAATAGTGACTTCAGAATCTTGCCATTGAGTAGCAATGACCTTTACTTCAAAGTGTTTGTATGTCATTAAAACCCTAACTCACCTTATTTATTCTTCACTTCCAAAGCACCTCTCCTCCTACCAAGAAGCTAGACATGCAAATTCCTGGTCAAACCGGGTGCCTGGTGGCTACATCTCAGCAGTTGCTTGTTGTGGCCATTATGTAACTGCTTGGCTCCATGGCTACCATCTTCCTCATCCATTCATTGACACAAGTTCTGTTGGAGGCCAGGGATCTGTGTCCTGGCAGTGCCAGAATCCGACCACGGTCAGTCCTGCAGGTTAAGTGTAACCAGGTCAAGGAATTACAAGTGGATCATTCAGGATGGTGTTGAGACATCAGACAGGGTGGTGGGCAGGTCTATCCTTCAGTGAGACAAAGGGAGGGATTGAGTACAATGGAAGTGAATGCAAGAGGAGTTAGCTTTGATGTGGGAGCAGAAGAGGTGGTAAGGTGACTCCAGTGAATGAGTGAGTGAGCAGAAACTGCAGAGAGCAGGAAAGGGCTTGGGAGGATGAGGTGAATGAGAACTGTGAAGTGGAGACGATGATACAATGTTGAGTGTTGTCATCATTGAGCCTTAGTGAGATGTGTGGACAGTGTTGAAGTTAGTGTGAGAGGAGATGGTGTGAAATTGTGCACTTTGGCAGGAAAAAAAGAAAGAATCATATTATCTAAATGATGAGGGATTCCACATGGATGTGGCTGTGATAATGCATGAATCACAGACTGCTTGTATACAGGTACAGGAAGTAATTAGGAAAGCTAATAGAATGTTTTTGTTTATTGCAAGGGGAGTAAGTAGGTTATGGTTTCTATTCTACAGGCCACTAGTTAGACCACATCTAGATACAGTGTACAGTATTGGTCTCCTATATAAGGAAGGCTGTAAATGTGGACTGGGCAGGCTGTCTTTTGAGATAATTTTCAAAAGTAGTCTTGTATCTGCTAGAGATTCGGACTGCAAGGCACAATTTGGTAAAAACATTAGATCCTGAGGGAGCTTGACAGACTGCATGTGGAAATGATGTTTCCTCTTGTGGGAGAATCTAAAATTAAGAGTCACTGACTAAAACTAAGTGGTCATCTACTGAAGGCAGAGAAGAGGAGGATGAGCGATGGATAGATTCTTTGTAAGCAAGGTGGTGATCATGGTTAGCCGGGAATGTGGATTTGAGGTTCCAATCGGATCAGCGATTTTATTAAATGTTAGAGCAGGATTGAGGGGATGAATGGCTTACTCTTGTTCCGGTTGTGTGTTTGTATGTTATGTAGGGTGGCACTTATCCCTGTGAATCAGGAGAATGTCATTTGGGCCCTCATGCCTATTCAATAGGATTGTGGCTGATTCAACATTCTTCATATCCAATTTCCCTGTGACCCTTGATTTCCCGGCTGATCAAGAATCTATCACAGCCTTAAATAGACACAAGGGCTCTGTCCCCACAGCTCTCTGCGGCAAGGAATTCCTAATTCTCAGAGAAGACATTCCTCCTCCTCTCAATCTTAAATTGGTGCCCCTTTGTTCTTAGACTGTTCCCTCTGGTTCTAGACTCTCCCAGGAGGGGAAACCCTCTCAGTATTTACTCTGTCAAGCCCCTTAAGAATCCAGTATGTTTCAATGAGATCAACTCATTCTTCTAAACTCCAGTGAATAGAGTCCCAACTTGTTTAAGATAATCCCTCTATACCATCATCCTAGTGAATCTTCCCTGAACTATCTCCAGTGAAATGATATCTTTCCTTAAATAAAGAGGACCAAAACTGCTCTCTGTGCTCCACATGTGATCTCACCAGCACCTTGTACAGTTGCAATAAGACTTCCCTACTCTTATACTCCAACCCTCTTGAAATAAGGGCCAACATTCCATAATCCTTCCTGATTACCTGCTGCGCCTGTGTGCTAGCTTTCTGTGTTTCGTGCATTAGTACCTCAAAGTCCCTTAGTGTTGCAGTTTTCTGCAGTTTTTCTCCATTTAAATACTACTCTGTTCCTTTGTTTTCCCTTCCAAATTGACACAGCACTGACCCAGGCTGCAGTCTGTGTCTGGACTGGTTAGATCTGGTGGCTGGGCCTTCTGTGAGGATTGTTTGGAAAAGAGACTGCACTCTTCACCACCACACCATCCAACTGCAACCCCAGATCCCTGTCTGTGATAAGCAGGCAAAGGAGAATTCCTTCACAGTGTGAGGGGCAGCTCCTGGCTTGCAGAGTCTTATGTTGCTGGAAAGACTCTGGGCCATTATGATTGATTAAAAGGAGGTGACGGGCTAGTGGTATTATCACGAGACTCTTAATCCCACGACCCAGGTCATGTTCTGGGGACCTGGGTTCAAATCCTACCATTGCAGATGATGGAATTTGAATTCAGTAACAAAACCTGGAATTTGGAGTCTAATGATGACCTTGAAGCTGTTGCTGATTGTCAGGAAAGGCCTGTCAGAATCACTAATGTCCTTTTAATGAAGAAAACTGCCATCTAGACTCCAGACCCACAGCTCTTGCACAGTGCCCTTAACTGTCCTCTGGGCACTTAGGGATGGGCAATAAATGCTGGCATGGCCAATGATGTTCACATCCAGTGAATGAATAAAAAGTAATATACACACTGGTTTGCTAAATAAGGGGCAGCCAGGGAAGATTTTTATTAGGTCTTTGGATTTGATTCTGACAAAAGCCATTGTGATAACAATTACAGCAGAGATTTCTCTGAATATACAGCAACTCAATCGACATCTGAAGGAACATGCATTCAGTTATTGATCCTTTATTGTCCCAGATTTCCAACAAGAAAATGTTATAATTTTTCCTATGTCAAAAGTTAGGTGCCCTCATATTATACATAGCAGTGAAAAAATGAATAAGTAGTTAGAAACTATTGTGAATTTGTACCATGCATGGAGCAAAAGTTAATAAACCTAACTTTCACTGTTTCTTTTCTTTTCAGACCAAAGCAATTATTTCAAATTACCTGCAGAGATCTGGGCCACTAAATGCCACTGCTTTGGATGTAATTGGTGGTCCAATATTGTGTACTCTGAGTGAAGAGAACCTCAGGACCATTCTTCCCAGTGAATTGAAGTGAGTGTGAGATTCTCTCAAGCTGATGTAACAGATAAATATATGATGCTTTACCCACTTATGTCTGTAAAAATCAATGTTGCCCACAGTAAATTGGCAAATTGTTTTAGCATGAAATCCAAATGCAGGCACTTGAAGGAGAAAACAAGGAAACATTTTGAAATTATCACTAGCTGACAAGCAGCAAATCAGAGAGTGCACTCTGGGTAAAACAATGTAAATTAAACAGCAGATGCTTGAGTTCCTACTGCACAGATGTAGTTGAAAGACAGTACTGAAAAGAAAAAGTAGACAACTTGATGCCACTATCTTCAGTAGAGCCTGGAAAATATTCAAGCTCCCAGTTAAACTGCCTTAACAGTGACCCAGAAAACCTCTGATCCCCGGGATCACTTTGTAAAAGGACAATTGATGATAAAATGAAACAAAGTGTAATGACAATCCTATCAGAGAACTCAGACCAACAAAGTCCTAAAAGTGTTCATGTTAACAAAAAAACATAACCACTCTGTTGCAGGAAAGCCAAACCACTGAATACTTCCACATGTACCCAGGCGAAGAAAGACATACTTTTTGGGATCGCTAAAGTTGCGTTCCAGGATCTTGCTGGTGATCCTAAAGCTTATTATAACAAACTCAAGCCATATATTGGTAAGTTGCATTACAATCTGCTTTGATGATTATTTAAAGAAATATACACATCAATTAATTTTCAGTTCATTGCTATCTTTAACCAAGAAAGCTTATCATTTATACCAAAAGAATTAAATCTTCCATTTCACTCTATTTTTATGAAGACTTGTTGTTTAGAAATAGTGAGCTGACAGTTCTTTCTGTTCCCAAAAAGGTGGTGCACAAGCGTCTGATTTACAGAGTTTAGCTGCTGGCAACATCAACATGGACTTTGAGACATTCAGCAGCCTCAATCCAGTAGAAGTGGAAGTGAGTATCAGTGGAGACCTGCACCAACATCCAGCTCTTTAACACCTCACACAGAAACCAGATATTAGATACAGTGCCCAGAAACAGGAATTCATTCACTCCAGCCCATGTTAATCACCACAGATCACCTCCTTGCTGCACAACTGCTATATTTATGAGACCTTGCTTAGACTAGAGACCACAACTGAACATCATGATCTCAGCTGTGAAGGAAAGGGAAACATGAAGTTCATCACATTTCAACCAGGTTTAAATGCTAGAATGGCCATGCTAAATTGCCTGTAGTGTCCAGGGATGTGTAAATTAGGTGGATTCGACATGGGAAATGCAGGGTTAGAGGGAAAGGATAGGGGGATGTGTCTGGGTGTGATGGTCTTTGGAGGGGCTGTGTGGACTTGTTAGGCCCAATGGTATGTTCCACACTGTGGGGATTCCATGTATAAACCTCCGATGTTTCAAATTAAAAAGACAATTTATAGCTCCACTCAGTTAGAGCTACACAGCTCGAGTTAATTGGAGGGAGTCATATCAGAAGTGGAATTAAATCCATTGGCGGAATGGAAAGACTTAAAGTTGAAGAAGAAGCTATGTTAACACTTATTAGATTGGTTTGGTGGATGAAGGGAACTGGAAACATTTGGGATAAATGCTTACTTGTGTTATTAACAGGAAATAGGTGAGACATTCTGTTTCCATATTGCTTATGTACCTGATTGTCCTTGAATCATTTCAGAAAGAATGTGGAACCAAGACTGAGGACAATGTTGTCATTGTATTGTGGCTATTCCATATCTTTCAGAAACTCACTGCCCAGAACATTCGAGATCTGCTTGGAATTAACCTGAATTCCCTTAAAGAAAATGAAAATCATGAAATTGTGTGGCGTTGGATTAACACACACACAGTGGCTGAGGTGATGAGTCTGGGAATTGGCCTCAGAGGTGGAATATCACCAGCTGGACTTGGGAACTTTGCCTTTCAGGAACGTAAGTAGCATTTTCCATTAGTTCTGCACCTAACATGAACATTGTAGCTAGGATTGGTTGGTGCTGTCATGCAATAAAGTAAAAAAAAACTGCATCACTGTGAAGTTTCTACATGTGTTCAAACATACAGAATCAAAATTAATAAAGTATTTAATCTATACATTGTAGAGACCGTATCTTTTATTTATCTGCATTTTTGATTATGGACTGAAATGGGAAAAGGAGAGGTTCGAAAGCCAAGGATTGTTGGAGGATTGATGTACTTTTTAAAAGCAAGTTACCTGACACCCATTGTAAGTGCTGCTAACATATTGCTTCATCAAGGAGTGGGAAAAGCCTAGTTAGAGATGAGCTGGAGTTAGAGGGCTGCATATAAATGGAAATTCACTTGGCAACAAATTGCTAATTGGTCTGTGAAATGTTGACCAGTTATCAATTACAAAGGTCTTCTGCCAGCCAACAACTTTGTTAATGACTCCCAGGCAGCTGAACAGGTTAGGGCTGTGAATTTTCAGGCCAGGGGGCAACAGATCTCTGGAAGCAACAGAGCTGTATTTGCACTGCAGTAAAAAGCATCTCAAACTTTGAAGGGTCTAGGCCCGAAACATCAGCCTTTCTGCTCCTGTGATGCTGCTTGGCCTGCCGTGTTCATCCAGCTCTGCACCTTGGTGTCTCGGATTCTCCAGCATCTGCAGTTCCTACTATCTCTGATTCAAACTTTAAAATAGCCAGTTTATGTCCCCTTTCCAGTTGTCATAAGCTGTAACATTTAATCAATAAGTCAGAGACCTTTATAAATCACTCCGTGCTTCTTGTAAACAAGTGAAAATGTTTGGAGAAGGAAGATCAAGAAGCAGTCATTTAAATCCTCAAGGCCTTATAATATTCAGGCCATGATAAGGGGGAACCAGTGGATGTGGTTTATTTGGACTTTCAAAATGCTTCAGATAAAGTCCCATATAAAATATTAGCATGTGTAAGATTAAAGTGCATGGGATTGGGTTGTAGTGTGCTGGCAAAGATAGAGGCAGTAAACAAAAAGTTGACTTGAATGGGTCTTTTTGTGAGTGGCAGGCAGTAATTAGTGGGCTCCAGCTATTCATAATACAAATAATTTAGGTGAGCGAACTCAATACAATATCTCCAGATTTGCACACAACACAAAGCTGGGTGGGAGGGTGAACTGTGAGGAAGATGCAGAGATGCTTCAGTGTGCTTTGAAGTGAGTGAGTTGACTGAGTGGGTTGGCAGGACTGATGTATGAAGAGATTCAGATCTGTCAGGACTATATTTACTGGAGTTGAGAAGAATGAGAGAGACCTCTTAAAAACTTAAAATTCTAACAGGACTGGACAGGGTAAACACAGGAAGGATGTTCCTGGCAATCGGGCAGTACAGAGTCAGGGGTTGCAGTCTAAGGATATGCTGTTGGCCACTTCAGACTGAGAATAGGAGAAAATGTCTTCACCAGAGTGTGATAAGCCAGTGGAATTCTCTACCACAGAAAGTGGTTGAGCCAAAACATTGAATGTTTTCAAGGAGTTAGATATAGTTCTTTGGGTTAAAAGGATAAAAAGGTGTGATGTGAAAGTGGGAACAGGATATTAAGTTGGTCAATCTGCCATGATTGTTTTGAATGGTGGAGCAGTCTCGAAGGAAAGAATGGCCTACTCCTCCTCCCATTTTCTGTGTTTCTATGATCAGCTAAAGGGTCGTCTCAGCCAAACCCAATGGACCGGGACCAATGAACAGTTTCTAGTCTTTCCCTCCATTCAGAACACTTATGGTGTTTATTGTGTCTGTTCATTCAGGTGTATAAAGAGAGAGTTTTATAAATGGTTAGAGTTTTAACCAGTTCAACTACATGTCGATGGTTCACAATTGTTTATCCAGAGTTAGAATCTATATATTTGTAATAAATAGTAATTATTGTGAAGTGCAGAGAACAAGCCCATGCTTTCTGTCAATCTGGGTCTAAAAGACAGGTAAATTGGGGAATTCTATATACTTTTTAAAACTTTTTAACTTTTGTGATGACTCTGGGAATAGCTGGGCTATATATCTAGCTGCCCGAGTGAGGCATAACAACAGATTCACAGTTATTTCCAATCGCACTTATAATACGGTACGCAACGAGTGACAAACAGAGCTTAATGTGTGCAACTGGAAGAATAGAGGAAGTGGTGGGGGCGGATGCAAGTATAACACATGATAATGAAGATGATGCCGACACCGGGCAACTCTTTGCGAGCTCTGTACAGCAGATCTTATTCTCACATTTCTTATAACCGTTCCGCACTTTTAAACCTAAATTCCAAGTCTTGCTAATGTTGATCTTACTTTGTGCACCTCCTGTGCAGGTGTAACCTTGCATGCCTTGCTCTGTCTAAGCACCCTATGAACTGTAGATCCAGTTTGTTATGATCTGCCTGTACTGCTCGCAAAACTATGCTTTTCACTGTACTTAGGTACATGCGACTACAATAAATCAAAATCAAATCAAATCAAACATTTAAAAGGCATCTGAGTGGATATATGAACAGGAAGGGTTTAGAGGGATATGGGCCAAATGCTGGCACATGGGAGTAGATTAATGTAGAATATCTGGTCGGCATGGACGAATTGGACTAAAAGGTCTGTTTCTGTGCTGTACAGCTTAAAAAAAATTGAAAAGTGCTCTTTGGAATGAAGTTATTCTGTGGCAGAAACTGTAAGTAAAAATTAAAACCAACTTTGGCTCAAATGGTTAAAGGTAACTGTAGGGGAATATTGAGATAACAAGGTGTAGAGCTGGATGAACATAGCAGGCCAAGCAGCATCAGAGGAGCAGGAAAGCTGACGTTTTGGGCCTAGACACTCTTCAAGCTTGGCCTGCTGTGTTCATCTAGCTCTACACCTTGTTATCTCAGATTCTCCAGCATCTGCAGTTCCTATTATCCCTGTAGGGGAATATTGTTCACTTTCTTCATTTCATTTCATTTTCCAGTGTCTGGTTCTGCTTCAGTCAACAGCTACAGTCTCCTGCTCTCCATTTGCATCACTATGATGGGAATCACATTACAATACCCTCCGTAAATTGTGCTTCAGCCATCAATAGCTTCATTGGAAATGATCAGATCTCCTTGACCGATATCAACAAAGGTTTAACAAACTGAATAACTGAAGTGAAATCTGCTTGTAATGATCCATTTTTAACTAGCCTTAAGCCAAGCTAATCTCGACAACGTTCTGATTATGTATGAAATACAATATTTTAAGGACTGATTTGGATCGCAATCAGAATGACAATCCACCAGCAATGGGTAAAGCGTTACGTTTTTAGTGCTTAGCAAATCTTGCATTCTGATCTTTCTTAAGTTTTGTATTTATTGGATCTTTATGGAATGAATAAAATTCCAATTTGATTGTATTTACTTGAAACTAGTAATTTGAGGTCGTTTTCTAACATGTGCTGGTTATTAATAGAGGAATAAATCTTGAATACTTGACAGTTGTATGTATAGTTGCCCTGTCAAGTGATAGTGCCAAGAATCTCCATCAGTGCAGGCTATTGCTCTTGAAGGAGTCTGCAGTTCTAACCTGAATGCCTGAGCTAATTTAGCTCATCTCTGTGCAACAACAGTTACGGTGCAAAAGTTTATTTTAGTGATGAGGAATAGAAACCACTGATCTTTACCTCATTAGCCAAATGGGAAGTAATCTTCCAGTCTTCAATCTCTTGTTGAGCTGTGATTTTTCTCATTTGAACAGCATCTTTGTCTGTAGCCCCCTCACTCATAGAACTGATGACCTTCATGATAAAGGGCAGCCAACAGGAAAGGCTGTTGGTAAATGTTCAACAGTCATCAGCTCTAAGAGTGAAAAAGGGGACATTTGCTGATAAAATGGTATTAGATTAAGCAACCAGCGTACTTGTATATTTTCTATACTAAAAAGTATTCAATGCAATTATTAATATGTTTACACCGCTTTTGACTTATATGCAATGTTCTGCATAATATATTAAAATTATTGCATGAAGCTCCAATTGATCTATTTCACTTTGCTCTGTTGAGTAAGAAAATTATATTTTTAACAACAACATAAATGCAAACATAATGGACCCCTTGTGATGCACTGGTAGTGTCCCCCCCGTCATCGCCGTCCCCTCTCCAAGGCCAGAAGGTCTATGTTCAAGTCTCACCTGCTCCAGATATGTGCCATAACTTAGAAGCATCAGTTGGTCATCCACCCAGATATGATCTAGAAATACTTGATATTGTTGAGATGAGAACTTTCTTTCTTCAAAATATGACCATGAAAATAGGAATACTTAATTTTATTTCCAAATGCTCCCAGGTAATGCCGTCAAGGCACTCATTATTTAGGTATTTGATGGGCCTGTACAACCAAGGAAGAATATGCTGTTCAACTCACAGTGCAGGAGGAGGTAGTTGGGACACTGGATAGGCTTAAAATTGATAAAGACGACTTGTTGGGCGTTTAATGTTTCATCAGGATCACATGATATGCAATGAAGCATTCTGAAGGGAGTAAGGGTGGAAATTGCACAGTACAGGCCATAATCTTCCAATCCTCCATAGATATAGTTGTGTGCCAATGAATTGGAGATGTGTAAGTGTTATGCCCTTGTTCAAAAAAGGGTGTATGGATATACCCAGCAACTTCAGTCCAGTCTATTTGATCTGGTGCAAACTCCAGCAGAACCAATGGGAAGCATTTAGTTTCATTCTCCATGTTCAGGTTGGTGACAGCTGGGAATCCCAATACTTTCCTATTTCCACTCCCATTATGTTCCTGGTAGAAAAGCCACTAGGTGGTCTACCTGTCCCTCTGCCAACTGAGGGCCTTAAGTAAGTAATCAATGTTAATTTCCTTTAAGGACATTGTCAGACAAGGTGAGCTTTACAAACAGGTTAATTATTTCTGGTGCTATCTCACAAAATTCCATATTAATGTTATTTATACCAATATTTTCTATTGCTATTAAGATTGTTTTCCTGTTGGACTCCATGTTATAGTAAGTTGCTATTCTAATTTGAACAATCACTTGTGGGATGCAGTAACAATAAGGAACCAGAGTAGATAGTCGAAGTATGGAGACCATGCAGACAATTGTGATCACAATGTAGTAAGCTTTAAATTATTGATTGAAATAACCCTAAAAAAGACAAAGAGCAAAGCAATTGCGTGGAATAAATTTTCATTTTGAGGGAACGGGAATGGGGCTAAAGAGAATAAACTGGAAGCAAATGGTTAACAACAGATAAAACAGCATTGCATAATAGTTTGAATGATGATCAATATAGTTTCAAGGAAACATATTCTGCTAAAATAAAAATATACACTGAACAATGATGAAGTGTGGGTGAGTAAGAAAGGAACAAAAGTGGACTTGGAGTAAAAGGGATGTAGTAGACAGTTAAAGGGAAAAAAAAATCACTAAAAGATGATGCATTTAGGAAAGATATTAAGAAGAGTTAGGAATACAAAGATGTTCGGAAAGATATGGAAAACAATTAGGGAAACAAAAAGGAACTCTGAAATTAGATTATAAAGGATTTTGACAAGAGCTTGTAAAGTATTCTACAGACAAATAAGTAACAAGTGAAGAGGACAATCGAAGCAAATAACTCACCAATCAAGGCTAACTTAACAATAGCACAATGTCACAGCTCTTCCTTTCTCTGCTCTGTTGATACTCTGTAAGGACAAAACTAGGAATTTCTTTATTAAAAGCATACATCTTATTAAGGTGAATTCAGGCCAATTCACATTGCAATGTGCACTTGGCCTCTCAGATCTCAGAATTTCCCCACACAGACAACAGAAAACAGTGGATTCTAAAAGAGTAAAGTCATTTATTTTTGCTTGTTCAAAGGATGTGGGCTACACTCACCAGGGCAGTATTTACTATCTGTCCCTAACTGATCTTGAGAATGTGGTGGTGAGCTAACGTCTTCAACTGGTACAGTCTGTGTGCACATCGAGACCTATCAGAGAGGGGCAATAACAAACCTATGACCCGTGTCAGTGAAGATATGATTCCAAGTCAGCATGGTGTGTGACTTTGAGGGAGACTTACAGGTGATGATGTTCCTATACATCCTCTGCCCTTGTTCTCCTAGTTGGTTGAAATTGTGGGTTTGGAAGGAGTTGATGTAGCGCTTCATCTTGTAGAGACTGCATTTCTTTGGTGATGGAGGCAGTGAATATTTAAGGTGGAGGATTGGGTACCAATCAGTGGGTTCCTTTGACCTGGATAGTGTCAAGCTTCTCGAGTGTTGTTGGAGCTGCATCCATCCAGGCAAGTGGAGATTATTCCATCACTTGTCCTGACTTGTGTCTTGTAGATGATGGACAGGCTTTTGAGGAGACTGGAGCAGAGTTACTCATCACAGAAATCCCAGTCTCTGATCTGCTCTTGGAGCCAGCATATTTATATGACTGGTCTGTTAGTTTCTGGTCAAGGATGTTCATGATGGGGGATTCAGTAAACGCAATGTCACTGAATACCAAGAGAAGGTGCTTAGATTCAATCTTGCTGGAGTTGGCCATTTCCTGGAACTTACATGGTGTGAATGTTATGTGCCAATTATCAGTTCAAGTCTGAATGATTTCAAAACCTTGCAGGCATAGACTACTTCAGTATCTGAAGAGTGTGAATGACATAGAACATTGTACATACATCACTTTTGACCATTCCTTGGAGGGAAGATCATTAATTTATTAGCCAAAGATGGACAGGCCGAAGATAACACCCCAAGGAATTCCTGCAGCCATATGCTTGGGCTGAGATAATTGGCCTCCAACAATCAGGGCCAGTGTCCTTTGAGAAGGTGGTGGTCAGCTACCTTCCTGAATTGCTGTAGTCCTTGTGGTGAAGGGATACAAACCGTAATATTAGGAAGGGACTTACAGGTTTTTGACCTAGTGATCTTAAAGGAATGGGAAAATAATTCCAAGATTTCTCCCTGACTGCCACAGACTGTTGTTTTGCCAGGGCTCCTTGACACCACACTTCCTTGATGTTGAGAGCAGTCACTCTCAAGGGGGTGGCCATGGGTACCCGCATGGGCCCAAGCTATGCCTGCCTCTTTGTAGGTTACGTGGAACAATCCCTCTTCCGTACCTACACCGGCTCTAAACCCCACCTCCTCCTCTGTTACATTGATGACTGTATCGGCGCCACCTCGTGCTCCCACGAGGAGCTCGAACAGTTCATCCACTTCACCAACACCTTCCACCCCAACCTTAAGTTTACCTGGACCATCTCTAATACATCTCTCCCCTTCCTGGACCCCTCTGTCTCCATATCGGGCAACCATCTAGAAACTGATATTCATTTCAAGCCCACCAACTCCCACAGCTACCTAGAATACTCCTCCTCCCACCCACCTTCCTGCAAAAATGCCATCCCCTATTCCCAATTCCTTCGCCTCCGCCGCATCTGCTCCCAGGATGAGGCATTCCACTCCCGTACATCTCAGTTGTCCTCGTTTTTCAAGGACCGTAACTTCCCCCCCTCAGTGGTCGAGAACGCCCTCAACTGTGTCTCCCACATCTCCCGCAACTCATCCCTCACACCCCGTCCACGCAATAAGAACCAAAAAAGAATCTCCCTCATCCTCACGTACCACCCCACCAACCTCCGGATCCAACGCATCATCCTCCGACACTTCCGCCATCTGCAATCCGACCCCACCACCAAAGACATCTTTCCCTCCCCACCCTTATCTGCTTTCCGGAGGGACAACTCTCTCCGTGACTCCCTTGTCCGCTCCACACTCCCCTCCAGCCTCACCACACCCGGCACTTTTCCCTGCAACCGCAGGAAGTACTACACCTGCCCCCATACCTCCTCCCTCACCCCCATCCCAGGCCCCAAGAAGACTTTCCACATCAAGCAGATGTTCACCTGCACATCTGCCAATGTGGTATACTGCATCCGCTGTACCCGGTGTGGCTACCTCTACATCGGGGAAACCAAGTGGAGGCTCGGGGACCGCTTTGCAGAACACCTACGCTCGGTTCGCAATGAACAACTGCACCTCCCAGTCGCGAACCATTTCAACTCCCCCTCCCATTCCTCAGACGACGTGTCCATCCTAGGCCTCCTGCAGTGCCACAACGATGCCACCCGAAGGTTGCAGGAACAGCAACTCATATTCCGCTTGGGAACCCTGCAGCCCAATGGTATCAATGTGGATTTCACAAGCTTCAAAATCTCCCCTCCCCCTACCGCATCCCAAAACCAGCTCATCCCCGCCTCCCTAACCTGTTCTTCCTCCCACCTATCCCCTCCTCCCACCTCAAGCCGCACCCCCATCTCCTACCGACTAACCTCATCCCGCCCCCTTGACCTGTCCGTCCCCCCTGGACTGACCTATCCCCTCCCTAACTTCCCACCTACACTCACCTTTACTGGCTCCATCCCCGCCTCTTCGACCTGTTTGTTTCCTCTCCACCTATCCTCTCCTCTATCCATCTTCTATCTGCCTCCTACTCTCTCCCTATTTATTTCAGAACCCCCTTCCCCTCCCCCTTTTCTGATGAAGGGTCTAGGCCCGAAACGTCAGCCTTTCTGCTCCTATGATGCTACTTGGCCTGCTGTGTTCATCCAGCCCTGCACCTTGTTGTCTCGGATTCTCCAGCATCTGCAGTTCGTACTATCTCTCACTCTCAATTTACCTCTGGCATTGAGCTTTTTTATCCATGGTTGGAGTGAGGCTGTTTTGTAGACAAGTCCAATTTTCCACATTACCGAGTAGATAAAGGAGACTGGGGGGCAGGGTGTGGGGGGAGAAGTTATGGAGACTGGGATATTGGAGGATGATTGCCAGAAACATACACTAAATTATACAGCATATGTGTCAACTGCTGAGTGCTTTCCAATGGTTAGCGGCTTTATGTAATTAGGGCTTACTACAGTTGGAGAGGAAATTGTCCTGGT